AAAGGTGCGGGCACACGATGAATAAATGAATGAATTAGGCTTGTAGCTATAGAATGTGGAGTGTAGATGGCCAAGGGCCTCTGCTGACTGACAATGACATGCGGGTTTTGGCCATCGAATTGTGGCAGAAGGTGCCCGGTAAATGGCCAACTGAAGTGCAAGTCACTCCTCGTTAGAGCACACACAAGTGGCTAGAAACAGATGTGGCAAGGTGATGGGACAGTCGCAGTTACAATCTCATTTCAGCTACAAACAGTACTTTGAAACTTTTCTAAGTTTACAGATAAAAATTATATGTATTAACAACCTTCTGGACTGAATTGAAGGATTAACTTAGTAACATTCTTAACCCCAAATATTACTAGGAATTTGTGTAGTAGACATCATAAAACTCATATTTTTAGGGAAGGAAAGAGACGAGATCAAATTATTATGGTAGTAAAAAGCTTTCTGCAATATGGAAATAGCTACATTAAACTAAGTTTATTTCTCTTTGTGCATCCTTAATTAAGCTGGAGATATTTTAAGTCCTCAGAGGACCAGCATGCTGCAAAAATAGCAGCAAAGCAAGTGCTCAGTGGGCGAAAGGAAGACCTTAGATCTTTTGTGAACCGAAGACCTCACGTTCCATGCCTGGCTGCTTGCGAAATGTCAACAGCAGGTAATGCGTCCTTAGTGCTTCCTGTTTATGCCCCAAAAGTCTTACCGGGCAACCCCTTAGCCTTCGTATTTTTTGGACCCCCAAAGTTTCGACTTGCCATCTGTCTGTGCCGGGAGCTTGTTGATGGCTTGTCTCGTTGCAATTTCCATTTCTTTTGTTGCACAGCGAGTCTCGAGCTGAGAAGTTGGACAGAGTTTGGAATGATATGTGGTTGGTGGGCGTCTGATAAGCATATGTAAATTAGAGACCTGACTGAAAATCCCATTTGTATTGTGGCAGGAGCTCAGAGCACTTTTCTTCTCTGGGGGGACGAACGTGTTTATGTGACAGGACAAGAAACTCATAACTCAGGGAAAGTGCTCCTCGAGAGCCATGTCCACAAAACTGGACATAAACATAAAGGAATAATGCTGAATCGTAACTTTTCCGCTGCGGCTGCCTGATAACTGTTTCTGATTCTATATTGACAGCCATCAGGCAAACAAAAAACCAGGAGTACTGGGAAAAAGGCGAAACAACGAAAGCCATCTACGATACGACTTCCACTTATGCTCCAAGCTATGTTTCATGGGGCATGAGCAACAGTTTGTCTGGCCATCAGACATCCACCCACGAACCACGCTCCTCGCTCCTTTTATAATCTTTTAAGGGCCGCTGTCTGTCGCGTCTTTTGTCTATTTGCCATTGCCGTTGCCGTTGCCTTTGCCATTGACTTTGTTTATTTTCACAAGCGTGTCGGTCCAAGTGCCAGTCCAAGTCCCTTGCCCCCAAACAAAGCACTTGAGCTTAAAGACCCAAGCCAAGAAATAGTTAGTTTCGTTTTGTTTGCGAGGCGGCATCAGAATAATTGCATTCGATCTATCTTGTCGGCGGCTTTAAGCAGCGATACTAGCAACCATTTGCTTCTGTTCAGATAGTAATGATACTCTGTCAATTTCAGCTTGAATGTAGCAATAGAAGAATACTTAAGGCAACCAAGAGAAACTTCAACGACTTTAATTTACTCTTGTAAGTTTTTGCCTTTTTGTGTTTTATGAAATTTTTAGAGCTGCAGCCCAACAGCCATCTGAATTCTCGGAAATTGTTTGAGCAACTAAATAAAATGCAAGAGCTTATTCACTAATGGTTCTTCTCTGTACGACATTTTAGTGTCGCTCGTGATTTCCCCCTTTCTGAGTGCTCAGGCGATGCGACATCCTTGCAATGCCAGATGCATTTAATTTAATTAAACAAGCTCCCCGAGGACTGCATATTTCACACTGACTTTTTGGTAGAACGCATCGGCATAAATAACATTTAAATGCAATCATCATTTATGGCTGAGATTTGCAGCGTAGTGGCAGAGACAGATGGCAAGATGATATGGCGCTTGATATGGTATGCTATGTCTTTCCGCACGACGCCGCTGCGTATGCGTAATATTTGCCCAGATTTATGCAATGCTATTTTCCGACTGAGCAAGATGGCGGATGGGGAAGGAAGTGATATAAATACGAGATATGGTTATGGACCGCTCATGCATGGCATATGTGGAAACTTTTGCGATTATGATGGGGCCTCTGGTTTTGACCTTGCATTTAGCGTTCTATGAAAATATTACGCAGCCTTTCAAGTGCTCGGATATATGGATGTTCGCCTCAAACGATGCTAGGCCCCACCCTACTCTCGATGCTCTGTACGAGTACTTGTGATGTGAATTATTGATCCGTTTAAGGGGTTTTTCTCATTTTCCCTTTAAGACCACCATCACGTGCCTAGATATCTGATGAATGGCCCGCCCGCCTGCCTTTCGTCTTCTTTTTATCGGACCCTGGGCAGCTAGACAGACTCCCCAAAGAAATGAGCATAAATCTTTCGACCCGCTCTCATTTGAATTTATTTATTTTTGCTCACAAATGAACTTAATGGGCTAGGGCAAACTTTTGCGAGGCTCAAACTTTGTAACAGGCTGTAAAATGTCCCCACTTCCTTTATCAAAAAAGTTGACAATTCCTGCCAGGCACACATGTGGCTCAACTGCTCAACTGCTCAACTTTGCAACCTTCGCGTCGCTTTTTGGGTTAAACAAAAGGGAATTATTATTATTATTATTATAGGGAATTATGATTTTACGCTCTGACGCTTGGGATTTATAAGCACACGGCCCATGTGGCGTATGCGTAATGCATTAAAGTTAAATGCCACTTACGTCCCGAAGGAAAATAAATAACAAGGGAAAGTTTAAGGAACAAGGAAGTTCAGAGTAATTAGCAGCGTGTACAGCAGCAGTATTTACTGGAGTTGTTAAGCAATTAAATTAAAAATGTGTCCCAAGAAAGTTTGAGTTTGTGCCTTGTAAGTCTTTGTTTCTTGCTATTTTAATCTTTTTCACATAGAAGCAATAATCATCTAAATCTTATACTTTGACTAATTATTATATTAACCTATGGGCATAAATTCTACACACGAGACCTGAGCGCCGTTAAACGTCTCGAAAAAACTTAAGAAACAAAGGAATCCCAAAGTAATTAATTGAATGCCCGACGAATAAAATGTTTGTGCATTCTTTGGCGAGCTAAACTCCGGCAATTAATTTAAATGATACTCAAAACCAAAAGCCCACCGACTATGTAACCGAAGTTTGTCTTGGCCAGAAGCCGCAGGCCATTGGTTTGAGCCATTGGCACGTGCCCCGTCTTGAGGCGTAGTCTCTTGGCCGGGCCAAAACCGAACCACAATGGACAATTACTGTCTCATCTGGGCGGACTCTGACTTGGAATCTGGCGCTGGCAGCTGGCACAGAAATTAATTAACTGCCCAACTTAACCGAAACCGAAAAGTTCAGGTCTCAGGCACAATGGACTCGATGGGATTCGGAATTAGGAATTGGGATTGGGATTGGGATCCGAATTGAGATTGAAGTGCATGGCAACGACTCTTGACACTGACATTCCTAGATGGGCATGTCTACTATTCGAGCCCCCAATTGATGGCCTTCTGTTCGGGCTAAATGTGTCAACAATTCGACTGGCAATTAAAGCCAGCGAGCAAGTGCATAAATTGAGTTGCGTTATGGCCTCGGCAGCTGCGAAAATCTCGCACATGCGGCTAATTGCTTCGAGCTGTTAACCCTCCGGGCATCTATAAATTGAGAGTTTTATGCATTGTGTCTCTTATTGACATGACTGTTAGCTTTGCGAAAGGCTTGCCTCGCCATTTCCTTGAGGGAAATTAGAAAACTTTGCGCTATCTGGACCGCCGTTCGGTGGTTTTTTGTTTGCTACTTTTTCGACTGTGCAAATATTTTTGCTAGCCAACCTTTTGTCCATTGTTTGCCACTGGCCTTTCTACCCTAGTTGACTTTTATTTATTGTGGGCCATAAAAAAGCAGCAGGCATTGCGCAAAGTTAAAAGAAACCCCGAAAGGAATCTAGCACAAAATGCAAAATATTTCTGTATACATTTGTTTGAGGTTTACTTTATGTTTCTTTCCCTTCCCGGATGCTTGCTTTTTCTTTTAGATTTCTTGAAAATTCAAATTTTATGCTCACAACACTTTTTACGACTTTGCCGCATTTGTACAAACAATGTTCGTTGTGTCTCATTCTCGTTTTATTGTTTATTTGTTCATTGACAACATGCGAGCTCATATACTCGTATATTTTATGTTCCTTCGCCAGGTTAGCCTTGCTGTTGGCCAAAGTGCTCCCAAGTCGCTAGTTGAGTCTGGCCGAAGGATTGCACTTCTGCGGCCGCATTGATCATAAAAAGTGTTTAATAAATTTATAGCCGAATGGAAGAAGAAAAGTTTGGCAGAATGCAGATAAGTGGATGGTTTTTTGATGCCTTTTACGTAGGTATTAGGGTCTTGAATTTATTAAGTAGAAAATAAATAAATAAAACGAAATACTTGTTTAACTTTTAAAGATTTTTTGATTATTTTTCCCAGCAGAAAAGTCTTTAGTAAGTGCTTTTGCAAAGATTCTCCAAAGACTCATAATTCTTCTTAACTAAAAGTCCACTAAACTCATTTAAAACGAATTTAAATTCCCATTGAGCATCCTTTCTTAATCTTTGGGGCAGCGTCTCTTTGTTCTATATATCCACTTATTACTGGGCTACCTACATCAATCAAATGGTGCACACCCAGAAGATTACACAGAATACAATTTGCAGGACATTAGGCACAGTGTCCCCATGGATGTGGCGGCCATTATGCCATTATGCTAATCAGATAAACCTTTTTCGGCCATAAATGAAATATAAGTTGGCCAAAAGCGCAGATGCTCTGTCTACCAAATGCGAATAAAATGCCCAAAAGTTCACTGACCATCGGATTACAGTCGAAAAGGCAACTTACACAAATCGGAAAAACTGATATTAGGGAAAATTCACTACACCGCATTTAACCGAAAATAATTATGATTTTTCATCTTATCGGCACATTCTCCGACGATTTTCGAACAATTTTGTTAGCCGGGAAAACTCCGAGACACGTGCGTGCGGCACCGCTATGGAAAACCAACTGAAAAACTGTGAAAAACTCGAGCGGCAACTGCTCGCGATTTTCCCAGCTCTCGGGAAATCGACGGTCGGCTTTTCCTGCGCGCCTGTCGAAAGTGTTGCCAGCTTTCTGGCGTCGACGCCGGCAGCGACATCGGCCGATCAGCTGTTCGGAAAAGCCAGGGAAGCCCAGGGAAAAACGCGTCCCACCAGAAGCAACTGGTGCAGCTGGGCGGAAGACAGCATCCACTTGCCATCCACATACAGCAACAGCTGGTCGACTTGTTGAAGTTGCAGCTTCTGTGCAAAACAGAGAGCCGGAAAAACAATCTACCCCGAAACAGAGAGAGAGAGCGAGGGAATTTCCTCCTCTCCCGTGCAGAAGTTTTTCCCTTTCCAAATTTGCTTTTACTGCGTTTTCAGTGGATTCCATTCGATTTGTTCTTATGAATGAAAAGGTTTTCATTCGACTTTCAGCGCGCCAAAAATATATTTATGCCGAAACTTTTTGCTGGTCGAAATTTATGGAACATCAACATCAGCCAGTCCATATGGCAGTTAACCCTTTTTTTCGGGTCCCCTTGGCGTATGGGTAATAAATCATGAAATGAAATGATAAACTGCGACGACCACCTAACCGTTCTCTCGATTTTGCCTCAGTTTTCCCAACTACAACGGCCTTTTAATAGACCGGGTTGCGAATGTGTTTAAAATCCCCTTCGAGTGCTCGTAAAACGTTCGTTTATCTTATTTGGGCTGGTATTTATTTACTTTTTTATTCTATCTTGCGCATTTCCCAACTGCTTCATGTTAGATTTATGTGCGGATCTATTTGGCCAAATTTATGTTTGCATTTCAATTTACTTCCTCCCAGCGACTCACTGTCAGTTTTATAGCATATGTTGATTAAGACAAGGTTTTCTCAGCTTTATTTTGGGTTTCTTTTTAATAGAATTGGTACTAAAGCTGAGCTACACATGTGGAAAGAAATAAATTAACTCCCTTTAAAGATTTCCCATTCAGATTTGAATGGAATCTTAAATTCTACTCTTTTCTTAAGTCATCATCAGTAATGACTGGGATTTAAAATTCAGGAAATCTGTCGCGTTCTTCTTAATATATTCCTGCCATGTTGGGCTTCAGTTTGAAAAGATTTCTGATTGACAAGCCCCCGAGGGGGCGGCATTAACATCCCCCCCACCAAAAAAGAAAACACAGACTTGCCATTGCCAAATCATCCTTCAATTTATGTCACATTTCGAACAGGACTCTGACGTTTCCAAGCCAAAGGACTCACACCTCTTTCCCTCGGGCGGAGAAGCGGGCCAAAGGCGAGGATCTCAATTATGAAGGCCTAAGTGCCGTTAAAACCAAATCAATAATTTTCCTTTTTCCCATCGTGCATGGCATGAGGAATGCGGAACGTTGACAATGTCGAATGCCTGCATGGGGTGGAGATCCATTAGATATGCCAAGTCTGGCCCAGGACCATAACTACACCCCAAGCTACTGCTCCTGCACCTCCTCCCTGACACTCACATATCCACATAGCCATGAATTTCGAAATGACATTCAATAAGCAGTCGAGATGTTCAATTATTTTTCAATTGCATCGACTTGTCGGCAACCCACAAAAGAAATTTGATTATACTTGAGACCTAAACAGATAGGTACATAAAGAAAAAAGTATTCTTAGACATTTTAAAAGTATTTAAAGATTGGAAATCTATTATAATAATAACAGAAGGAAACTATAATAACAGTTCAAATAATAAACAAAAATGTAAATATCTTTCCTAGACTTTAAAGCCCTTTAAAACGAATTCCACTTTTCTCCTGTGCATAATTTTCCTTTTCTCGTTGATTTTCCTTACAGCACGTGACACATTCAAAATAAGCCTGGTCGGAAGTCGTTTGGCACCCATTTTCGGCCTGTGTTTAGGCCATTTCCCACTCCGGGCACACATGCCAGGGGCGTGTCTCTAAACCAGTTAGCTACTTTGCATTAAAGCTCGCCCCGGGTGGAGCGTTGAGTGGTCCAACTATATCCGATAGCACTCAGACGTCGCCCGTCCAGTCGACTGTCGCTCAATAGATGGAGATGGAGATGCGTTGCGTGTTAGCGGAAAATGGATGGGTGGCGAAGCCCAGGGAAATTCAGAGGAAAATAGGCAGACGAGAGGTGGGCATCAGGAAATGCTGACTTGACAGGGACGGAACCCGAAAAGCTTCCGCTGCCATGGCAGGCGAACCACAGACAAGGATTTCGTTGCGGCCAGCTTTTGGAGACCCCGCAGCGATAATCCTCTCAATCCACATGGAAATGCGAAAACGTCAGACAATGTGAGGGAAAATACATTGAGAGAAAAAGAAAGATGAGTCCTAAGACACTGACTTTCTAATACCTTTGTCTGGATCACAATAATGCTCATATTTCATTGGGTAAGGATATATCCAATTTACCGAAGAAATGTTAAATAAGTCTTGATAGTTCCAACACATTGTGTTTGCTCATCAGTAATTTCTCTCAGTGAACATTTAAAGAAGATACAACATCACCTTGGGCAACTCGAACTATTTGGTGGAAGCACTTTAAATGCTGCTTGCGATGGCACAGCTGCTGCAGGAAGTTGTTGATATTTTGTTAACAGATTTATTTGCGCTTCGTGTTCACGCTTTCATTTGCAATTTTCCACTAGAGCTCGATTTTCTGTCGATTTTCTCGCTTTTCGATTAACCGTAGAAGTGGTGCCTCGGATGTTTTGTCCAATTCAGGCGATGGCATACAAAAGAAATCAAAGCATTTGAGGGAAGCTGCCATTCCCTGTCAAACCCATTTCAAGTGGGCGCCAAACAGTAGTGTCCTCCCACTCCTGTTTAGGGTCCTGGGGTGCGCCTTTGTGCTTGCGGCGGTTGGGGTGGCACTTTGACAGTCCCTAGTCACTCTGTTAGTTTGGGTGGCGCCGAAAAGGAACTCGGCTCTGTCAATCTCGTGCGGATTGAAGTTGATTTATCCAGGCGGAGGAGGCTTTAAAGTGACTTAGACATCAGAGAAATGCCCGCAAAGCCCGATGAGAATTTTTGCCTGGCAAGCTTAACTTGTGATACCGAAATAATTGTTGTGTGAAAATTTAAAAGGGGCCCCTTTAAGAGTTGCGTAACTTCAGGGTTTTCCACTTGAATGCGCCCCTTTGAAAAGTGTGCAGGAAAAATTAAAATTTTCATATGGCTTTCCAGGGCATAATTAAATCATATACCCCAGGATTTTTGTGCATCTCCTTGTCTTCAGGGAGGATGAGGAGGAAACCTGTGCAGTGGAAAATCGTTTGTCACTGTGCCGGCACTGATGCTTTCGTTCCTGACGTTCCTTTGACGGCCTTGATGCCGCTTTTGCAACATTCGGTTTTTGTTTTTGACACAGAAGGCATCAGAAAACCGTCTGTCTGCGGGCTTCGGTTATCTTTTCGGCTTTTAAGCAAATATATTTATTACGTTTTTTGTCACATCAAAGGGCAGAATTTGTGATGCCCCTTTGGGAAAGGGTTTCCATCCGGTGAACTTTGAAAACCGAATGGGTTTTGAAGTTATTCAAATTCAAGTTTTAACTGTCATTTCCACAACACACAATTATTTTTCCGACCTTTGGGAGTTCCAACTCGAAAATAATCTTCCACTTCAGACCCAATTAGGGCATTTATTTTTTTAATAACCCAACCCTTTTACTTATTGTTTTCCCTTTTTCCTCTCTTTTTAAATTGTTGATTTTAAAGGACCAAAAGGACGTAAGCCACAGTCCGACTTTTTCACTTTTGTTTTAAGGTATTAAAAGAAAGTTATTTCAGACATCTAAAAAAGATATAGAGTTCCATAACATTCATTAATATTTTATAAAATTTATTTGCGTTTTTAACGATTTGAAACTTTTAATTATTTACACAACTTTCTTACTCCCTCCGTGTCTTTGTTTTTGTGTCCTTTTTAGTCCAAGATTATTCAAGCTTTTGACCAGCTCTCTCCCTTTTTGTTTTGGTTATGACACAAACTTTTTCCCGGCTCTTTTGTGGCTAAAACGCCCACGTTTTGGCATTTGTAAATCAAGCGAGAGGAGACAAGTTTATCATGGCCTTTTCGGTGGCAGCTGCTCCCACTCCCAGGGAGTCCGCAAGGGATTGAAGTTTATTCGACTGACTTTTATTCCGTTTGGTATTTTTGGAGCGCAGCCGTGTGGCATTGGCACATTTATTTGGGCTCCGTACGTTGCACGCGGGCTGATCCACTCTAGACTACGAGTGGGCGTAATTAACGCGCCACGAAGCCATAACGCAGCCCCCGGGGGCAAAGGTCGCAGTCGAAGCCCATAGAGAAGAGCTGCTGATTAATTGATTTTATATCGAGAACAATTTCCCGCGGCGCCTTACGGCTGTTTTTCCCCTACTGACTCGGAATCGGAAGCCACTGCAAAGGATGCCGTGCAATTTATCAGCCAACTTCCAATTAACACTTCTCCCGGCCTTTTCCGCACCCAACTTCTCCAGGTTGCGAAGTTGGTTTCCACTTCGTCAGGAAAACTGGGAAGTGATATGGAAACGGTAATGCAATCAGGGCGAGTAAGTACTTTAACATCAAGACATCCAATTAGCTTAATTAATGTCTCTGTTTTTCTCATCTAAAGAATGGGAAAAAGAAGTATTTACTCAGAAAAATGAAGTTTTTTATTCGATAAGAGAAACCAGAATAAGCTTAATCCGCTTAAGTGGTAACACCAGTTGATGGCCAGACAAATTGTAGCACTCGAAAAGTCAACTAACTTCATCCGGTATCGACACTAACCTCCCAAATATTTACTCCTCTCGTTCTCCACAAAAACGAAACGTTTATTTGCTTAGCTTAGATAACAACAAAAGCGACCAAAGTCGTTAGTTTATTTACAAAATACCAATACCAAATACCAACTGCCCTCGAGGGCCCACAAAAAAGCGACTCATTCTCGGTTATTGCCAATCTAACTGCATTGGCTCTTTCAGTTTTCAGTTCGTTGTCCAATCCAGTAGATTGGGTGGTTCGGTGGCCATAAAGTGGGTGTTAACTTGGTTACCAACAACCTTGCATCAGCCCCAACTGCTGGATAGCCCCGCAGCCGACGCGATTCTGCATGTAATCGGGGAAATTGCTCTGCAGGACTCGCATCGTATTCCGCTTGTAATCTGGCACGGCATGGGTCACCAGCTGACAGGTCTGGCTGCGGTAAACTGGCTTGAAGTTGGTCTCCGCAAATGTAGAGTTGGTGTCCCAGCGGTAGACCTCCGCATCGCCCTCGTTCCGGAAGAAAATCGCCGAGCCATTGTCCGTGCCAATGATGACCATGCGACTGGGTTTCTTGCCAAGATCTATAAAAAATTATTTAAATTCAGTTAAGTAATGTTTTCATAGGTATTTTGGCCAATAAAACTCACCCAAAATACGTCCATCAGCCACTCCACTGCGTAGATACTCCGATTTCAGAGAGAACAGCTTGCTGGTGCTCAGGTAGGTGAAGTAAAGCTCAGTGGAGCCACAATCCCTGCGGATGAGGGCTATATAGAGCACATCCCTTGACCGACAGCCGGCAGTAACAGCCTTGGGCAGCACAACCCTGAATCCTCGATCCGCTTGAAGGTTATACACGATGATAGCCCGATTGGCAGCATCACTGACGTAGACGAAACATCCTCCATCGGGGGCGTAATCCACCACCAGGTATTGCAGACGGGAACTGCTGGATGTTAGACCTTCCAGAGAGACGGTTTTCAGCACCTTGCCTGTTTTCACCGACATGGCCACCACTTTGGGTGGACACTTGCGCACCGGAGTCTCCAGGGTGTTCACAATACCAGTGTCCAAGACCCAGAGCACCTCATTCTGATCCACTACCAAATCCACAACAGATTGCAAGGCTTTGCAGTTGCCCTCCTCCTGAAGATCCCAGCAGGGGTAGGGCTTGAAGGTGGTGGAGCAGGTGCCGGGTTTTACATTGGTCTTGACCAGCGTGGCCGGAACACCCTTCCGGTAGCGAGGCAGTGCCAAGTAGATGGTGTCGCCAATGAGCTGAGCCCTCGTGGCAATCACATTCTTGGGTATAAACTTTCCGGAACTCTTAAAAAGTGACTTGGTGCTGGCGCACGGAAACTCGAATTGACCGCCGGTCCATTGGATGGGCTGGGAATCGGAGTATGCCCGATCGGGAGTCCAAAGTCCGTACTTGGTGCCCTGCGAATGGGCCAACTCAGCCAGCCAAAATCCAAGGATCAGGGCCAAATGCAGTCTCATCGTGGAAGCAATTGTTAATAGTCTGGCGACGACGTGCGCGTTCTGCTCCCCAAATTGGCCAAGTGGCGTGCTTATATAACCCAGAAACCCATCGAAACTGACCACCAACCGGCAACGTGCCTCGCGACCAATTCTTAATTTTCAAATTTAGTTTTTGCAGCAAAGAAACCTTGACCAAAGTTTACTGACAAAAAGGGGTAAAAAGTTATATCAATTATAATTCGAAAAAATAATTTAATTACATCTTTAACTTTGTAAAGACATAATTAATACTGATAATATAGTTTCAACTAACTAAACAATTACTGATTCCAATTTCTCCTCATTTCCCGCACAGAAACCACAGAAGATTCCTTAGAAAGCCAAAAGGCCAAGGCAAAGGGATGGAATTCTCCCTTTTCCTCTCAATTAACCAATTGACTTTGGAAATGGCATTGCAATTACTGCAATCAATTGAAAACGGAGCCCCTACAAGTGTCTCCAGATTGGCATAGATATTTTTAGCTAATTAATTGCAAGCAATAAGCTTGCCCTTAGACTTCGATTTGGCCAGCAATAACTTCGCCAATACCAAGTGATTGAGAGGGTGAGAGGAAAATCTGTACTTCCCTGTGGATTTCCCTGCAGAATTCTGCAGCTATTTCCATCAACGTAATTGCCCCTAAATAGGTTAAAGCACTCGATATGGGCAGACAACCCGGAATCGCCCAAAGCCAAAAACCAACGTGTTTGGCATGTTAAATTGTCAGCCGAAGCCCGCATTCCGGGTGGCATTTTCCCCCGCATTGCCCCCGCCCAACCGAATGATTTATACGAGACATAGAGCACAAAAAATTGATGACAAGCATTTCCGGGCTACTCATCTGACATAATTTATGTAAACACTTACCTCCAGCCAAAAACAAAGTTTGGATAAGAGACAGCCGGGCGACTGCTGACTGACCCCCATTAGCTGAGAAAGCAAAGCCACCCAATCCTGCCGAAAATCATACCCATCTTTTCCGCAGGCCATTTTCCACACATTACATTGACAGTTTTTTTTTTATTGCCCGTTTAACGAGGCGTATGCGTCATGTGGCAAAACCGAGGTTTCTGTGCGACTTCTTAAAAACCCGCTCACTCTTTCCAGCTTTGGGTAAAGCAAAGTTTACCTTTTTATATATGCCAATAAAAATCCAATTGAAAACGCAAATAAGCCAATAATTTGTCGGGCTTTATTTTGTCCCAGCAGCAAAAAGAATTGTCTGTGGTCACGTTTGATTTGGTTTGGTAAATGGGTCGAATGAGGTTTGTGCTTTTCACTTTTTGCTGAGAAAAGCGATTTTCTTTTACCGGGAATTTCACATAAATTAAAAACAAAACTTCTTTCAAACTTTATTGGTCATGCTGGGTTTCGGGGTGGATGAAAACTTAACTCAACTTTAGTTACAGACAACATTGCTAGACAAGAATACTGATACCGAAATACTGATCAACTTGTAGTTTACCAATTTTTCGAAATATTATTGAACTTAAAGGACTTGCCATTAACTTAAACTTTCTCTCTTTCGATCAAAACATTTAAATTAGAAGCTTATAGCTGTAGTACAGGGTATTAAAAAGTCAACAACTCGCGATTAAAGTTAATCTTCCCATACATTTCGCTCCTCGCCTAATTTATGTGCTTTGCTTTCACTTTGCTGGCTTTCTTTCGTCGGCCAAGTTTTGTTTGCGTCTGCTTAAAGTTGTCCAGCGTGGTTCTTAACCTTTCGCCGAGCTCAAATGGTTCGATGAATTGCCATAAATTAGTGGCTTTATCCAGTGGCTCATCTTTGTTTAATTGTTTTGCAATAATTGAATTCATTTGGCTGGTTGGCTTCATTTCTGACTCTCCGACAAATTGCTTTTGGCACCTTGCTGCTGCTCATCGGGTGTGGATATTGAATATTCACTTTTTTTCGCTCGCCAAATGCAATCAATGAACATTTTTAAATTTTCCCATTTATACGCATCTGTCAGAAACAAGGAAAAAATGTTTCCAGTTGAGTGGTGATTTGGTCGAATAAATATACAAATGCCCTTTCTTTGGGGATTATTATTTTACTTTTACTTTAAGTTTGCTATGCTTTTTAATAATATTTCACTTTCTGTATTATAAGGTTTTTTAGTCATGGTTTTTACCCCTTAAAGTCTTATATGCCCTTCTTACAGAGTACAAAGTTCTTAGTCTTGTGCCTCGTTAAATTTCCATTTTGATATTTTTGCTTTTATTTATGTTAAAGCGCATAAATATTTATCTACAGCTCTGTCCGTGCAGATTCGCCGGAGATTTTGGGCTGACTGACAACGCCCACGCATATCACATCAGCCTGCTTTTGGGCATGTATGTGCCATAAATTCGGGGATTACGATCGAAGGGGGGTGGGCAACTTATGGCAGTTTATTGAAACGGAATTTGCAAAAATTCAATCTGCATGTAATTTGGCATTATAGACAGACCGATTGGGACTCCTCCCGCCATGCGGAAGCCAAGTCTGACCCCCGGCTAAAAGGGTTAACTCAGGCTTGTGAAAATGTTGACCCGCTGGTCATTTTTTGTGTTGCTTTAAGGAGATTAAACATTTTGCGATTTAATGGAAGCCGAGTGCCGGCCATAATTCGATGCACGTGCTGCCTCATCTCCACAAAGGCAGAGGACCAACAAAGGACTCTGCAGCTGGACACCGAATCCTCCGCTCCGCTCCGCCCACACAAATGTGTCAACGCATTTTTTATTTGTTATTATTCGATGCGAGGGTGCTTTACGAGGTCGTTGTCCATGTCTGGCGGACACACCTTTAATGTAATCCCCCTAAAAACGGCCTAAATCCACAAAGACCCGTAAGAAGCCAATAAAAAAATATGGAAAAAAAGTTTGTTCCAGGGGGCACCCGGATTTGAACCGGGGACCTCTCGATCTGCAGTCGAATGCTCTACCCCTGAGCTATACCCCCGACTTGATTTCAGCGAACTCGGAGAGCCTTATAAGATTCAATAACTGAGATAAATTTTGCATTCGCATTTATCTTAAAATAGATATGAAATCAATTTGAGACAGAATGCTGATGAATTGTTTAGCGAAACTCTTTGTGTGATTCACACGGAGTGGCTTCATTGAATCTCCGGGAACTTGCAATCTTATCAGCGAATAAAATACACCCCTACCCACCGAACTTTCTCTTCGTTCCCTTGAAACAAACTGATAGCTGCAGGCGGGCTGACAGATGTTTTTGTCAGGCCCGAAATAGCTGGTAACACAAACCAAGTAACTGAAACTTTCTCGGTCACAGATACAGGTCACAGACGTCAGCATTGATATTGAACTTTTGGGCCACTTTGGCAACTGTTTCGCATTGACCCCTGAACTTTGCCTGCCAAAGGGTGAAAACTTTCGTTGCCATCGAATGCACAAGCGATCGATGGGTGACAGAAACCATTTCTGCATTTTAACCCATTTAATTGATTTGTTAAGAAGTTAATTTATTTTTCTTTTGCAGATAAAGTTTTTTCATTATTTAACTTTTCTTACCAAAAAGAAAAAACAATTTTTATTTCCCCAAATAAAATCATCAGAAATTCCGCATTTAATGGGTTAAATTTCAAACTCTTTTCCGTACGGGCTTCCGCATTGCTTAGAAACAGAGAGCAGATGAGGGCTTAGAGGTCTGGTCGATTTCCGGCGTAGGCCAGACGTGCTGGCTGGGTGGTAGCCATTCCAGACAGACACTTGTTTCCCCCCGTGTTTACCATCTAACGACCTTGCTGCAACACGCTCTACCAACTTGCTGCACAAATCAACGGCTTTTATATATAAATGCAAGTCTGGCTGCCGTTCAGACAGTTTTATGTTCTGTCCAAACGTGGTGAATCGAGTGCTGAATCTCTTTCTGTAGGAACCCTCGAAAGGAACTCTCTAAAATGTCGCAGCTACCATTGCTGCTTCTTATAGTTTCTGCATCCGTGGTCCTCGGCGGATATAGTTCCTCCACCGATGAGGCTGGATCAACAGATGCCTCCAATTCCATTGGTGGCACCAAGTGCGACAAGAACCCGCTGAGTGAACTTACGTTCCAGCTGAGTGGCAGCAGCCTCCACTGGCCCTGTGAGTCCACCAAGAACATATATGTCCAATCCGGCAGATATGTGCCCCGGAATGTGATTGTGACTCGGGCTCAGCTGCAGAGGGATTCCGCCTTTGTGGCTCTGCCTAGGTACAAACAGGGCGTGCCCTTCACCCTGGGTAAGGTCAACCTGAAGAAGGGCGAGTGCCTGACCAAGATCGCCCCGTATCCCTGCTGGGCCATCCAGGAGGAGGGCAACTGCCAGGCCCTTCAATCAGTCGTGGACATCGCCGTCGATCAGAATGTGAGTGCAATTAACGCCTGTATTGTTTCCGCTTTTTTTCGGGGGCTTCATTCAAGTTGTTTCATTCAAACTGCAATTTCTGCCTTCAATTACGGATTGCTATTTTTTTGGGAAGCCTTTTCATGGCACTTTTGACCCATACCCTCTTTGGTGGGTTTTAAATGATTTTTTTTTTAATATCTTTATCATAAGGTAGAAGTCAAAGTTAAGGATTATTAAAATATTATAAAAATTCAGATTTCCTGAACACAAAATATAAGTTTTTAACAAAGAAAACACAAGTTTGCATCCTTTAAAATATTTCCAAAAATAAGATACAGTAAGTTTACAGGATATCGCTATCCTCTTACCCCATATAGCCACTCTTTTAAGCTTCCCATTTTCACTGACGACCAAAAATTGCTTTTTTAATCAAATAAACGGGGCGACAAAAACGAAGGGCTTCAAATAAAATTTATGTCTGGCGAGTGCAGTGGCGCCGGCAACTGAAGAGAAATAATAAACGGATGAACGGGCGAAAAAGTGGTTATGTAAATGGAATATTATAAAAGGGCAAATGCTGCAGCTGAAAAGTTCTCAGAAATCATAGGAAGTGACTGCAGCAGACGATTCCACGTTCCAATTTTTATGTACGATTATTTCGATTTCAATTTAAAACTTTGATGTGTAAATGGCCGTCAGATTAAATTTAAAATGACCAATGCAATGGCAAATATTGCAGTTAGTATTTGATGGCTTAAAATGTCATTGATATATGAAATATTTACATGTTTGTATATATAGTGTATATATGGCGAAAACACCAATGACCCGACCTACTTGCAATTCACGGCATAACCGCAACTTAATAATTTCCTTCCATTATTGTGGAACGTCGATTCGGTCTCATTTAAATGCCATTCTCGTTTAGCTGCATTTATGCAAATCATTTCTTTATTTTATTTACACAAAAGTCGACATAACAACAACAACAATAGCAATAACAAACAGCAAACAAACAGCGCAGCTTTGTTTATTTATTTGAGCAATTTTCCATTCAGTGCTTTTCGCTGATATTCATTTTATTGCCACGAGTGTGGAATTTTCATCGCCAAGAACATTTCAATTAACAGCCAGCAAATGAAAACATTACAAAAACAATCAATATAAGCCGCAATTGATATCAATTATTCATTATTCATATTTCTCGCAGGGACTTCTTTGGGCCTTGGACGTAGGCATTGTCAACACTCTGGAGCAGCCCATCCGTAGGTGCAGCCCAAAGATCGTGGCCATAAACACGGCCAACAACAAGGTGGTCAAGAGCATCGACCTAAGTGACCTGGTCACCTCGGAGAGTCGTCTGCAGTTTATTGTGGTCGATTACTCCAAGGACAATAAGCCATTCGTGTGAGTTTTATAGCCTGTTTAATAATATCTTTATTCGTGGAAATTCTTTGAAATTGAAACTACATTTTTATTTGATTTTTCACCTTTAATCATTCTGTCTCCCTTGCAAATATGAGTTATTCACTGGTTTTTATGATTATCAGCATTAAAAGGCAATCAAAAACTAAAAACAACACACCTTATCTGCACTAGAAAGTACCTCATGAAAACCAATTAAAATCAAATTAGAAACATCATATCTTATCTTATTTTCTATTATTTCACTTATTTCCCACCCCAGTTATGTGGCTGATGCCGGAGCACGGAGCATCCTGGTGTACGACATCACCGGCAACAAGTCCTACCGTATTGTCCTGCCGAAGGCCACCGCCCCCACCACCGATGTCCTTTACGTGGCCCTCACCTCGAAACCGGACGGAACCTCCACCTTGTTCTTCAGCTACTTAAGCTCTTCACGTCTCTACTCCATTAAGGGCGAGTATTTGCGTGTGGGCCAGGGAGCTGGTTCCATCATCGATGTGGGTCCCAAGCCCTACGGAAAACAAGCGGTTCTCCTGGGCGCAGATGGAGGCACCTCTCTCTTCTTCCGCTACAAGGGCGAGAACGACATTTACCTGTGGGACTCGGAGACCTGCTTCAAGGCCGCCAATCTGCAAGAGGTGCAACGGGGTGGTGACTGCCGTCTTTCCACCCAAGTCCTGCCAGGACACAAGCGGTTCATGTGGGCACTGGAGAGCAACTTCCACGACTTCATCTCTGATCGAACGGGCTGCAACGGAGCTTCGATCGTCCTGCATCCGGTGGTGCGGGAGTGCGACGACTGAACCAAGATAACTTCATTTTATTAGGTTTAAGATTCCATTGAATTGTTGTCGTTATAGAGTCGTCATTACAATTTTTGTGAATGTTTGAAATCTGTTTTAAATTTATTAACAAAAATATGGTCTTTTCAATTGTTGAACTAAAAATGATTAATTTATTCAGCTTGGCAAATCAAAGTCTCAGGGTTGTAGTAGAATCCCGACGGACAGTTATAGATCTGCAGTTGATGCTCGATACACAGGCAGTACTCATCCTTGGCGGTGGCATTGGGACAGCTAAGGACTTCAAAGTTTCTACACTGATAGGAACTTTCACTGACGCAGGTTAAAATCCTGGCATCAAAGTGGAAGCCAGCAGGACAGGTGATAACCTGAAGATCTCCATCGACGCACTTGCAGTAATCGTTCTCGGAAGTTCGGAAGGGACATTCATACCTGGTGTTGTCCACGCATTTGTTGGACTTCTTAACTTGCAACTCCTTATTCTTGAAGCGAGTGTTAGGAACACAACTGTGACTGTCAAAAACGAAACCCTCACGGCACTTCATCATCAGTGGATACAGAGAGTTAGTGGAGTCATTAACGCAGACATAGAAATATCGGTTATCAGGCAGCCAACCCCCAACTTGTCCGGATCGACTACAGCTGAACTGCTCCTTCGTGCACGGATCACTTTCCCGGTCAAGAACACAAGTCTCCAAGAGGGTGGAGTAACCAGCTCCGTTGGAGCACTGACGAATGGTGTCCACACTCTGATCGCTGCACTCATGATACTTCCTGCAGTCATAGGGATCTGGGAACAAGCCCGCTTGCTGGCAGGTGAAAGGACCACGTTTGGGAACTTGACACTGCGACTGCCAGGTGCATCCAAACGTTCCCTCGTCGCTGCAGAAGAAACTGTGGTCCGACTGGCAGCCCAGCATCGAAATCGTTTCCCACTTGCCAGTGGCATCGCGGATGCAGTAGCCCAAAGTGGTGCAATTCAGGCAAACGAATCCTGCCAATCCCACATCTTGGCAAGGATTATCATCAGCTTTTGCCGATCCAGTCGCCAAAATAAGCACTGATAGAAAAACCGAGAGTGGAGCCTTCATCTCGCAGACTGTTGGTTGGTTCAAATAGAACCGGTTCTTATATATCACCTCCTAATCTAAGATACCAATGTTTTTCACTTAATTAAATAGATAAGCTCTAAAAGCGTCTAGTTAATGTTAGCAAGTTTTAAAAGTACTGAACTAGATCTGGCTTATATTTATATAATATTTGTATATTTGTATGCCAAGATCAGGCAATTCCTGATTTCTGATTCCATACCGCGAGAATCATTAAAAAATAAACTGCAACAAAACTAACCTTTCTTACATGGAAGTAGATAATCAGAAAAAGAATGTTTTGCCATAATTAATAGATAACGTGTGAGAAAGAACAAACTCTTCTTGGTACCCAGAATTCAATTAAGCGAAAAGAAAATATATGCATTATGTATATGTATTATAGGTAAGACACACTATAGGGAATATCTGATTCCAAGTTTTATATTTAATAATATTTGATAGGTTTATAAGTTCTCTTTTCTTCTTTTATTATAATTTACATATTCATTCAAAAATTTAAATACTTAAAAAGTTTTAAAAGGTTTAAAAGAAATTCAAGTCTGTATCATTAGCAAGTTCCTAAGATGCAGGCTGAAGACTCCGGCCGGTAGTAAGTGCCCACTGGACAGTCCATATGCCGCAGGGTGCCATTCAGAGCCGAGCAATAGTAGTACTTCCGGCAATCGTTTCCATCGGCTATCAAGCCTACGTGTCTGCATGTGCTTGGCATCAAGGAGAACTCCCCGTCATTGGGATCCTCTATTATCACCGAAGGATCATCCGTGTTGGGGGGCAGGACATTCGAACCGCTGCGGCATACATAGTCCACGAAGGTCTCTCCATCGTTGCACCTGTGCAGCGATGGGTAGATGACGATGGTGTCATTCAGGTTCTGGTTAACCGTCGACTTGCACACGTAGAAGATATTGGGGTTAGTGGGCCAGGGGGCCACGTGTCCGGCATTGGGGCAGTAGTACTGCCTTTGCAGGCAGACTGTGTCACTCAGGGTCAGGGTGCACTGACCTGTTCTCGCATCGAAAGCCCTGTCATTGCCACAATCCACGGCAGCGGCTACCAAAGTGGCGCCCACAAAATAGCACATGTGGTACTTCTGGCAGTCGTACGGATCCGGAAAGATGCCCTGCGAGGTGCACTGGAAGTTGCCCTCGATTCCGAATGGATGGCATGGTCCCGTCTCGTTGGTACAGCTACCAAGTCGAGCATTGCAGTAGTATCCATTGGCCACGTCGCAGGACTCCACTGGGATGTTCACCCATCCATTCGAGTGACGCACACAGGTGGCCAGCAGCTCGCAGGATTCGCAGATGGGCCCGGGACTCTGACGGCCCTCGCAGGAGTTCGTTTCCCGCGGCTGAATGCGACGAGTGGTTACTGTGGCGCCCATCAAAAGGCCCACCACGTTGAGCAGTATCTAAGACAAAACAGGAAATATTTTATAGTTTTTATTCACCATAAAGAAATCTATTTGCCAATCCGATAATAAATCCAACAATACCTACCAGGCTCACAAGTAGTTTTTCCAAGAACATGATGACGTATTCCGTATTTAGTACTTCTTTAGTTAGTTTAGGTCCAACTCCCACAAGAATCTTCGATTGTCTGGCTCCAAGCCACTCTGGTGACAGCAATAAAAGCCCCGAAATAGCAGACTTTAGATAGCGTTTTATATCTTTCGTGTATTTGTTTGTCTATCAACTTTCAAAAGTCAATGGGAGTTGGGCAAAGTGGCAATAGACGAACCTAATTACAACAACTAGATTGGAATGCTGCAATAACGATGGGTGAGTAAACCATATTTACTAGAAAGACCCATCTAGATTTCAAGGGAGCCTGTGTTTAAAGAGTAAACAGTACGGGATTTTGTTTGGTCGAGAAATTTAGAGCACTTTTAAGTGCTTTTAATAAATATTTGTCTTATATTTTCTTCATTTTTGCTGAAAATAAATACCAATTATAAATCAATCTTTATTTTTCATTGTTTTTCATTTAAATTGTATACGAATATTTTATTTGGTATTCATAAGAAATAATAAACTTAAAAACCAATTAAATTTAAATATTTTATTGTATTCACCTTTAACGGAATTGGTTTATGTCGCCGCTTACGTTATCGAAGTTTTCCACCAAAGTATCGTTAGCAAAATCATTGTAACAACGTTAAGCGATAGTTAACAATAAGCATAAGTATAGTGCCACCGCTAGCACCACAACTAAAAAAGGAGCTGGAGCAAAAGGACAAAGGATGACTAAAGTTCCAGGAAGCAATCTGGAGTTTGTACGGGAAGAGGATTTTGTGGAATACTACATATTCCCTAAGATCCCCGACAACATACAAGATGAAGCCACTATACGCAAATTGATGCTCCAGGTCCGCGCAGAAATCTCTGCTATAGTTAAGGAAAAATCCTTGGAGCGCAGCTATCTATGGCACAAGGACGAGTTCCAGCTTCAAATCCGGATGGGAGGCGCCGAGGAGCGCCTGCTGAACGAGGAGACCAACCCGGAAGAGGAGGAGGAACTCGGTATGCACACAAAAGTTCTATAAATAGCTATATTTCTGCATACTAAACATTCCATGCCCCGCCCAGGCGACCTCCCGCCCCATTTCCACGGTGTAACCCACTATGGCGACAACATTAGCGACGAGTGGTTCATCGTATATCTGCTGACGGAGATCACACGTGCTCGCGGGGACTGCATTGCCCGGGTCAGCGATTCGGATGGCGAATTTCTACTCATCGAGGCAGCGGATGCCCTGCCGGACTGGGCGTCTCCGGAGACCTGCGAACACCGTGTTTATTTAGTTGGAGGGTGCCTGCAGCTGCTTCAGAACTCTGGCGGCAACAGCCAGAATAAGCCGCTGACCATCGCCACTGCTGTACAACGTATACGATTGAATCCCACCCTGTATCGCTGCTCGCGAGAGATCCAGTCCTGCATTGACTCGCGGCTCAAGGAGTACCAGATCGCTCAGCCCCACTTCTCCATCCATCGCCAGGTGTTGGAACTCCCGCACAGTGCTGCACAGCTCTTGAAGCAGCAGCCCAGACTACTCTCCTCAGCGGTGCGGGCTTTCTGCGAACGGGATTCCCTGGACGTAAAGGCCCTTCGCACTATGCGCTATTTCCCACCTGAGGCCACACGCCTGCGCACCAACGTGCGGTTCACTCGCTGTCTGTACGCCATGTTGTCCCACCAGCAATATCTCCCCGAAAAGAGACTCGGATGGAATCTCACGGATCCCGTGTCCGAGCCGGAGCGGTACAAAGAACAATTGCTGGGCGTAAAACTTGCCAGTGGATTGGAGATCTTGGCCACCCAGGCCAAGCGGCTGGAGGGTCAACAGTTGGAAGATTTGCCTGCCTGGCGTTCGTATCTGCGCAGCCTGCAGAGCAAGGGTTACTTCCGGAACAACACCGAGGGCAGTGCTGAGTACCAGGAGTTGCTTAATAAGGCCAAGGAGTACTTCCGCGGCAATCAGGACCGTTTTCGCACCGCCTCAAGAGCGGGGGCAGAGATCCTAGACCTGTTGCTCCATCCGGCGGAAGCAGCTTCTGAGGAACTTCGCGACGAGGAGAACAATTTGCAGCCTAGCGATTCTGACGAATGGTTAAATATCAGCGCGGAAGATCTGGACTCCATGCTACAGGATCGCTACGGTCCCAAGAAACTTTACAAGCCTAATGGTCAAATGAACGCCGAGGAGTTCACTAAGCAGCTGTCGGAGTTCCTCGATCGGCAGTCTAACTACGAGGGCATCGAGCACCGTGGTCTAGAGGAGCAGGAGCTGGACTCTGACGATGATGAGCCTCCGCCACAACCGAAGGGCTCTTCAGGTGCAAAACTGAAGAAGAATCCCTCCATGCGAAAGGCCTGTCAGCGCAACTCACTCATCCAGCCAGATGAGCCGGACAGCACCCATGTACGAAATTTCTTAGACTTTGTTATACCCGAGGATAACTGGGACTCCACTTCCGAGATGAGCGACTATGCGGATGAGGACGACATGGAGAGAAACCTCAATGCACTCTCTGGCGGCGGCTCTGCTTTTCCACTTGATCGACAAATTCAGTCGTATATGGAACAGATGGATCGGGAGTTGGCTCAGACCAGTGTGGGCAAGACCTTCCACGGCAAGAAGGCTGCTCCTCAGGCGGACGAGGACGACTTCGATGACATTGAGGACTTCGAGCCAATTAATATAAATGTAAACACGCTGAGGAACATGATGGATAGCTACCAGTCACAGGTGGGCGGCGCTGGGCCTGTCTCGAATCTGTTTAGCGCTATGGGTGTGGGCATGTCAGCAGGCGAGGATCTGGAGCCCAAGGACATTTCCGAGTCGGCCGTGTAAACGGAGTTACAGGGATTAGTCTAGTCTTAAGTCCATCAAATAAACGTAAATGTGAATAATTGATTGTAATATGAAGAGTATTCTTATTTTCTACTTTTGATAACTAATCCTTGGATGCAGGCACAAAGTTTCCATAGTCGCGTCTGACCTTCATGGGCGGTTCGTTGTTGGGAGGATCATTGCGTTGGTTATGATCATGAGATCGCTTGTATCCACCAGATGCGGATCCTCCACCTCCTTCATAGCGATCCCTGCGGTCTTTGGGGTCGTATCTGTTGTGACGTCGGTTGTCTAGGGGAATAAATGGGTCAGAAAGCTATATATAAGCACCAAGCTGCCCGGGACTTACCTCTGAATCCTCTATCCTGGTTATTGTGGTAGCCGGCTCCTCCACGCCGCTGCCAGCCCCTGTCGCCTCCTCTGCGATTTCCGTTGTAGCGATTATGGTACGGATGACCTCCTCCTCCTCCTCCGCCCTGGAATCCACCTCCACCGCCTCCTCCACCCATCCAGTTCTCAACGATTGGCGGATCCGGCAACGGTTTGCTGCAATGCGCCATAAACTCCGGATCGTCCTCTGTGAAGCGGTCCGCGAACTCCAACTCGCACGACTCCAAGAAATTAAGCTCCCTGTCAACCAGGCGGTTTATCTTCCGGTTCGGATCGACCATTATTATTTTTAATATATAAAAATTGTCATACAATCGTGCTCAACAGCACTTAAATTTCCACCAAACACAGCTGTGAATGCGTTTGACAACTTCCCGCCGCAGTGATTTTCAAGTCACGACATTAATTTGTGATGCCTTTTTTTTATATAGGTTAATGAAAAATTAAATAGTTATATTTAAAAGACTAAGGAGATTTATCACATAAGATATATAATAAACCGCTTTTTGGTTTATATATATTATAAATGCAATTTCAAAATTAGAAACAGCTGTTAAACGTGCCCATTTCGGTAGTATTCGTGAGGTATTTTTTATTATTATTTTATTATTTTATCATAGTGCGGTCATACTGCTTGAAACACAAGTGCGGGGGCGACTTTTCCGCGGAAAAATGCCATTAATTAGCCAGACGAATAAGTCCCGATGCTTAACCCGCCAACAGTAGAGAGCAGAACATGTCCCCGCCTCGTTGCCATAGCGCATTACGGATCACAGCCCACACGCACGTCCAGAATCCGGAAAAGAAACACCACGTCTTTGGCAGCGGCGGAAGGAGACCCTGGAGATTACACTAGCCATGGAGCAATCAGTGTCCCCCCGCTGGCTAAGACGCTATCGCGCCTTCTTTCTCATCCTGCTGCTCATTGTAGCCATTCAATTGTTCCTGGCCTACAAATCATTGGACATCGTAGGCGGAGGGTCTGGCTCAGGGTTCGATGCAGCTGAGGCGCCCGCCAGTCCGCCCCCGCCGCAGGCTCAGGAGCGCATTCAGCCACCCGTCAGGACCAAGCTTACAGCCCAGCAACTGGGCTTCCAGCCAGAGTGCGACATCCTTGCCAGGGAGGCCATCTCCGCCCTTCAGCGCGCAAAAACGAAAGACTGTCGAGAACATATCGCACACATTGCCTGCGCCATCCAAGCTGGACGTTTCTATGCTCCGCAACTGCAGAGCAGCTGTCCCGCGGGAAATTATACAGCAAATGTGTCATTGGGTTGCTACAAGGATGAAAAGGATCGCCGCCTACTAGCCGGTTATTATAGCAGTTCTAAGACCTCAAATTCCCCCGCAAAATGTGTGGAGCTCTGCCTGCAGAGTGGCTATCCGTATGCGGGTGTTCAGTACGGACGTGAATGTTTCTGTGGCTTTGATACGCCACCGAGGGCCGCCAAGCTTCCGGACTCCAGTTGTAACACCAAGTGCCTGGGCAATGCCAAGGAAATCTGCGGTGGATTCTACGCCATGAACATCTACGAGACCGGCATAGCCAGTGAGTAATTTGAAAATTACAGGGCCTTTCTTTCGCTATTTATCTAATGTTCTGTAAGATAAAATCTAAAAAATTTACGTTAATTGCCTTCTTATCTTGCTAAGTCAAGTTAATCTAGATAAGACCTTAGTTTCATCTACTAGGCCTTTGTTGAGTATTAGTATTTTTCATTCACTCTCCCAATGTTATCTTGCAGAGTTCACCGCCCAGCTGGCAGCTACCACTCCTCCGGCGGGAACGAAGCGTGTGCGGATCGCATTTCTGCTGACGCTCAATGGAAGAGCGCTGCGTCAGGTGCATCGACTTCTAAAGGCCTTATATGCTCCGGAGCACGTGTACTACATTCATGTGGATGAGGTGGGTCAACGGCCGGAACTCGGCAATTAAAGAGCGCTCAATTAATTGCGCTAATTTGCACAATTTAACACACTGACGGCCAAAATAGTTGGCCACAGAATTTGATTTATTTATGGAATGGTTTAGAGCCAACGAGTAGCTATATCAGAAATGCCTTGAACCACATACATTGTTACTCTCTTGTTTAATACGGAAAAATGCACATTCAGCGCTGCATTTAATTCACATTGTATACTAATTGCTTGGCGCACAAACAAAATATTTAGAGTGAATTGTGCACAATCCGGTTTATGGTGACAATCTCGTCATCTATAATACATTTTTTACAATTTTTATATGAATGAATGAAGTATTTACCTTGTTAACAGGCGCACTTTGGGCTGACTTAAATAATAATTAAAATTAATTAATATGTTTTATTTTATCCTCTTAGCGCCAGGATTACTTGTACCGGAAGCTGCTGGAGCTGGAATCAAAGTTCCCCAACATCCGTTTGGCCCGTAAGCGTTTCTCCACCATATGGGGAGGAGCGTCCCTTCTGACCATGTTGCTCCAGTGCATGGAGGACCTCCTGCAGTCCAACTGGCACTGGGACTTCGTGATTAACCTGAGCGAAAGCGATTTCCCGGTTAAGACACTCGACAAGTTGGTGGATTTCCTGAGTGCAAATCAGGGAAGGAACTTTGTTAAAGGCCACGGCCGGGAAACCCAGAAGTTCATCCAGAAGCAGGGATTAGACAAGACGTTCGTAGAGTGCGACACCCATATGTGGAGGATAGGAGATCGTAAACTGCCAGCGGGCATCCAAGTGGATGGAGGCAGTGACTGGGTGGCGCTGTCGCGACCTTTCGTGGCGTATGTCACGCATCCCAAAGAGGATGATGAGCTATTGCAGGCTCTCCTTAAGCTCTTTCGGCACACCCTGCTCCCGGCGGAGTCCTTCTTCCACACGGTGCTTAGGAATACCCAGCACTGCACAAGCTATGTGGATAACAACCTACACGTCACCAACTGGAAACGGAAACAGGGATGCAAATGCCAGTACAAACATGTGGTAGATTGGTGCGGTTGCAGCCCCAATGACTTCAAACCTGAAGATTGGGCTAGGCTGCAGGCCACGGAACAGAAATCTCTATTCTTCGCCCGCAAGTTTGAGCCAGTAATCAACCAGGCAGTGTTGCTTCAACTAGAGGAGTGGCTCTACGGACCATATACGAGCGAGTACGCAAACTTGCACGGCTACTGGCAGTCCCTGTACCACCACGAGGATATTCATGGATCTGGGGATGATTTAGCAAGGAGCATTGGTGACAGTGTAATGCGTTTATCTGCTCGCCAAGCGAAGTTGGATCCCCTGGAGTTAATAGAACTCACTCACTACCTCCACCGCGATCAGTACAAGGGTTTCCTGGTGCGATACAGAGCCAGAGGATCGTCTGGGAAACCACTTTATTTAGAGACCCGAGTGCGTCCGATGCAGCAAGGCAAGCTTGCGCGAAATGCCCGCTTTAGCAAGAGATTACGAAACTTTGAGGTCTCTACAGACTTCGATCAAAAAGAGCAGGTAGCCCGTAACTTTGGAAAGCTCTTAGGTCCACAAAGTGACCTACTGCTGAGTTACACACTCCAGGCTACTGCGGATTCGGGTGCAGCGTCCCATTCCTATAACCTTACCCTGTTATGGATAGATCCGTTAGGTCGCTTGCAGGACTTTAACGAACTGCACGTCGAAGACTCTACCAGCGATGTGATAAACCACTCGAAAACCCTGCTCAAGCATCCAATCACACCAGGGATATGGACAGCCAAGTTAATAGGACGAAACTCCATCTATGCGCAGCTCAAGTTCCTAATAGTCCCAGTCGCCTACCACAAAGGATATCCTTTGGAAAAGTCCTCTGAAGCTGAGGCACTTAACGCCGGTTTGTCGGTGTCGTTGCCTGAGGACTTCGAGATGCCAGTAGAATGGCAGCAACATCTGCAAACCGATGATGAACAGTTTACCATGCGAGAGGAATCCCTAGCCAAGGGGAGGATGGTGGGACAGGAACTGCACAGTTGGATTGATGGATTGGTCAGTAAATTTTTTCATCTACGTGAGAGCTGCGTGATGGAGGCGGACACTGAGGTTTCCCTGCCCCTTTGTAGCGATGTTGCCTGGAGTTCAATGGCTTCCGATCCCAAGAGCGATGTGGATGCCTTGCTCAAATGAGCTATTGCCATTAACCAGTTTTGTTATTAATTCTATAGTGTAAATATTTGCCATTACTTAGATACCGATCCGCAATTAATAATTTTTTGATAGCTCCTTTTTCTCCTTAATGTTTTCATATAGATTGTTGTGATAAATGTGAACTTTTAAGCGCCATCTTGACCGGATGCGGAACTCCGCCACTCCATTTGAAATTTGATTTTTTTCAATACTAGAGTATAGCATTTTGAAATAGTTAAGTTAGTTAGATTTGAACGCCTTGTAAATACGCAACGCACTGGACACCAAAATATCGCATTGCAGCCAAATATCGTGGAGGTAATCCAGAGTTAACTGTACATAAGGTTAGCTAGACGAAATTCCGTAACTAAGTCATAAGCTAGGGCACCACCAGATAACAATTGAATCAGTTGTATTCACAAAGTTTCTTCGATTTTTTGATTCACATATCAAGTTATCCAAAATAAATGAGCAATTCTACATGTACTAAAAATGGTCGTTCAAAGATTCATTCTGCTTCTCTTTCGAGGTTGAACACACCCCTTGGCTGAACTTTGGGGCCGGAATTCCAGGTATTTTATGTATTTAGTAGGTTAGACTTAAGTAGACTTAAAGCCAAGGCTATTTGTACTGCCGTTCGCTGGTGGCGGGTAGCCTAGATGCACAGATCCTCGTCAGGATCCTCCTCATCAAAGTCGTCGTCGGCATCGGGCGTGTATATAATGTTTCCCTCGGACGGCTCGCTTGTGCTGAAATATAAAATATCATATCAGTGATTCTTATCTCCGCTTGATGCCCAAGCTACAAATCTGCCCTCACCGTTCGTATGGCAGGGTAAGTGCATTGCGAGCAACCACTTCATCCTCGTCGAGCTCGATCTTAAAGGTGCTGCTGGCCGGTTCTGGGGTTTGCTCTGCCTCTGGCGAGGGCTGCTTGGGAGAGACACCTGCCGGGAGTCCTCCGTCCACCGGCGTCACCAGGAACTGGGTTTTGCTGACCTGGCATGAGAAGCGTCTGTTTGTAACTCCTCCGCCCGGCTTGCGTGATATTATGGACAGTAGCTTGTCTGTTTCCAAGCGGAGCACCAACTTGGCCAAGTATTCGCAGCCAGCCAGAATGTAGGCAGCATGAGGATGCTGCAGATGGTGCGGGGAAGCCCAGAGGAACACTCGACGCACATGCTCCGAGCGACGTAGGCGGTTAAGGAAGCCAAAAATAAAAGCGGGCGACTGATAGCACAGCAGGTCAGCCAAGGTGGGCAGGATGACGTTGAAGCCGGTAGATTTCGATCCCGGAGTAACCGCATCCACGTCGCCCACTTCTCCGGCAGGGGTGTTGTTGTTGTTATGGTTGGCGCACTCGTCGATCAGCGATTCGAAGGTGGCCACGTGCTTCAGACTGACGCCGGTGGGCAAGGCCTTGATTGTATCTGTCCCCTGTCCCTGTTCGTGAAGCAAGCTGCCGATGAACTTGGGGGCAATGCGCTCCCGATTTAGCTCATCTGCGGGTGTGGGTAGATGGAGAGGCGAATTAGTTGGCAGCCAATTGGGGCATCATTACCTTGGACTCACCTATTATGAGGACCACTTTTTGATTGGTCACCACAAGATTTGAAAGCATTTTGTCATTTGATTATTTTATTATTTAAAATTGTGCTTTTTGCTGAAGCTGCCAATACTGTCAACCAGAGGCGTTAGGGTATTTTTACCTTACTAAGCAGAGCTGCAAACTTTCGAAGAAAAAATAACTGTTTTAAATGAAAAAATAATTTAACTTAGAAAAGGGAACAGGTTCGGTTGAAACATTTTAATTTTAGAAATCGAACCATCCGTACAATTTTCAAATTTTCACGAACCATTTGCCCTTAAGAGCCATTTGGCGGGAAAAAGCGGAATTGGCATCCTTAGTACCAGAAGGGTCACACTGACGAGATATTGTAATCCAGGGCTGAGAGGGAAATATTTCTCTTTAATTTACTTAAAAAGTACAACTTGAAAATTTTAAAATGCGGTTACATTAAAATTATTTAATTGTCGTTATAAAAATAAAATATTATTAACACATTTTAATTTTTAAATTCTCGGCAATGTATTATGTGATCTGCAGCCCTATTTGTCCCGCTTATTCCAAATGAGTAAACCAGACAAAAACAAAGCGGTTTAACATCTCAAGTTACAGTTTAAAACCCTTTGATAGTGAAAGTTTGACCTTGTCCTTGTAATGTTTATACTTAATTGAATACCAACGAATCTGCTACTTATTGGTTAAACTAGTTAATAATGCTGACGTAGTAAAATTCGCACAGCATTCGGTTCTTTTTTCGTGGCCAAATTATCTCTTTGTGTTTGTGCGGTTTTGTTTTCGTCTTTTCCGTTAAAGACTATTTGGAATTATTCCAAATTAATAAAAGTATTTGACGACGCATTTAAATAATTTCTGTAAGTAAAACATTTTAAGTTAACCTAGTTCTTTTAAAACCTTCAACAAATAAATAGAACTCTGTTGCGGCTTTTCATTAATATCCAACAAGTGGTTTTCTGTAGTGGTGTATGTGTTTGAAAGTTTGTTTGCATGTGTGTTTTGGTTTTTACCGTTCTGAGCTTCCAGCCAAAAGCTCGTGGAAATGCCAGATGGAAGGGCAAAATCGGGGAAGTGGGCGGGGTTTTAGGGCTTTCACTCCCACGCAGCCTTTGCAGAATTTCCACGGCTTTTCCTCCATATGGAAGGCACAGCTTCCTGCATTTAAAGCAGTTTGCTCAACAAGTAAAGTAAAGTGCGTGACAATTCGCTGAAAATATAGACAAAATTGCGAAAAACCCAAGAGTCATTGATTTAAAGTCTAAAGTTGGGTGCTAAAGATAAGCGAAAGCGGTATAAAAACAAGCATTATCTGAACAGAGTGAAGCATCAATCAAGTATACGCCATGTTGTTCTCACTGGGTGAGTTGAAATGCACATACAGACAAACCTCCATAACTGGAACCTTTTAAGGCCCATTTTAAGGCTCTTTAATTTTGAAGTTAAGGAAGCTAGCACTAACATTATTCTTCAACATTCATGTTCTTTATAAAATTAACTTTTAATATCATATATCTTTCCTAACCCTATGTGTGTATACTATAATTAGACTGACTAAGATAATAACAAGTATAATTTAGCATATGTAAAGTTAAGCTTAAATTTTAAAACCTTTGTTTTACAAAAGCCTTTCTCTAAACATAACTTCATATTTACATTCTGTTAGTATTTTAGTTCCTTTTAAAGAAGTACAACTGCATTAACCCATTATTATGCATAGAACATTAAAGTCAAAGTCGCAATTGAAATGCCGCTCAGTGACAATAGTTTGAATAGACCTGAGGAATGCAAAATGCAAAAAAAGGCATCAATGCACCCCCTTCCCAACCAGAAACCAACAACCTGGTGCGGCATACTAACCAGCATTTCTTGGCACCCAAACTCAACCCCACTGGAATCCAATCCCCATCAAAAGCCAAACAATTATCCACACCGAATTGAACAATATGTATGCGATATCGCATGCGAGAGATTCGTGAGGGCGTAAAAGCTTTATTTTAACCATCGCCGGGCGGCGGCTGGAAAACTTTAAATTCAGTTGCGCATTGCACGTCGAAGTGTGCGGTTGTCTTAACCAGTGTGCTAGTTAGTTGGTGTCGTGCTAGTTAGTTAGTTACTAGTGTTTTTGTGTTGTGTCTTAGGGCAATTAACGCTAGCCAATATTGCATGTGTTTTTGTGTTGAACCGTTGGTGAATTATTGATTAATCAGTGCACAGACCATGTCGAAGGACTCGGACGTGGAGCAGGCGACAAAGCCGGAAAGTGGAGTCGTCCAAGTGGAGCCAGCGATTGCAGAGGAGCCACAGTCCACCACGCCGACGACTGTGTCCACGACAACAACGGTGATCGCGGTGACCAATGGCGAAAAGCCAGTAGAAGTGACACCTGCAACACCTGCAACAGCAGAACAAGTGCAACCAGCAACGACCATTGCTGGCATTGAATTGGCCACTCCGACAGCAACAGCAACATCACCATCAACAGGTAGACAGTGAACGGCATTGGATTTCGGCTTCAAGTTTGATTAGTGCCAAGTAAAAACCAACAACCCGAGTGTTTAGTTTTAGTAAAAGTTAAAGCAAAACGCATCGAAAAAGAGAGACTGCAAAAACACCTCCTCCGCCCGCTTTCCACCATCATCACTCACCATCACGATCGGCGACTAGTCGAATTTCACTTTGGTTTTCCAGACTTTATTTATTTTACTTTTGCTGTCTTCGAATTTGTACGCTTTTCCAAAGTCAAAGTCATCTGCCCGGGTTTTACTTTCGGTGCGCCTATGTAGATTGTTTCTTTCAAATTTTGCGCACGATCTGCTGCAACGCTTTGCTGGTCAGCGTCTTTGGCACGCCCACTTAACCCTAATAATTAACAATCATAATCACAATTAATGTGCCAATTAATTTCACTACTCCGAAAACTGATCCAAAATGGAGCACTCGAAATGAACTCATTGAATAACCGGGGACGCGTGGCTGCTGCCATTTACCAGCATTTATAATTACGATTGCCAGCTACAAATGTCTCCGGCCCACTTATCAGCCAATTTACAAGCTTACACTTGGCGGCCTGGCTTATTTGCAGTTGGCTTGAGTTTGAATTGAAACATCATTTGCATACCAAACTTCAATTAGGCCAACTGATAGCGGGGCCCTTATCAAGTGCATCTGCTTCTGCAAATTTATATGCAGAAGGGCATGATAATAAGATTGCGGATGAGATCTGAACTTCAGTAGCTTCTTGGGCTCACTAGTTTATATTTTGTTAATTTAACGAATCAAATAAATGGCTACTTTTCAGCACCTTCAGTAGAATGAAACACATTTTTAATTTATTTAATGTGTCATGCTACAACATCCAACGGGAGGTACATGTACGATGCTATTTAAAGCGATTTAATATCAGATGGTTAGGCTATCTCGAGAACAACCTGATAACATTTTTGCACTTACCAGACAGATAAAGTTGGGAAAACTCTCCGCCAGCACAAATTAATGTTCGGTAAACAAACGCAAATGTTTACGCATTAATTAGGCAAATTAGACCTGATGAGTGTCCGGTAAAGGAGATAGGATTGAGGGTGTGTCCAAATGCAAACAGGCCTTTCCCATAAATTTCAACCCAGCCGTTATGATGAGATCTTGTTTACATCGAGATCGGATTGCTGGCGACAAAAGAACTGTTTATTTTCATAGCGAGTGCAGCTGCCATTAATCCGAATCAGATGTACGGCTATAAAAGTGGGTTCAAGAGAGCTTACATATTCCGTAAACTTTTGGTGGTATGTTATCAGCAAGTGTTTGGGGGGTTATTTTAATCTTTGGGCACAGACGACAGGTGGAAAATGTAATTGAATAATGTTTACGTACCAGCAGTTATAAAACAAATGTATGGAATTTATATAAGAGTGCTTGAGATCCCCTCCTCGAACCCCTGATATCTTCACCCTTGAATGAATTCAGCGATTAGATCGCCAGAAATGCGTGCTATGCGTAATGGCCTCTATTTTTAGCTCATCTCAACTATTTTTTTTTGGCATTTTCAGGCAGTGGAAAGGCCAACATGGACCCGGCGCTGATCAACTTTAAGGTGCTCTATGTGTTGACCCAGCTGTGTGGCCTGACTATGATCGTCCTGGTGGGCACCTGGATTGGTCAGCACTTTGGCGGCCTGGGCGGCACCTCTAATCCCAAACTGGAGTTCAACTGGCATCCGCTTTTCATGACTATAGGCTTCATCTACCTGTATGGCAACTGTAAGTAAATGCAGCGGAAGAGGTGCAACTCCACTCCCATTTATTGACTCCGAAATGGTAATCCTATAAATCCCACAGCCATTCTGATCTACCGCGGTTTCCGCACCACGCGCAAGAAGACTCTGAAGCTCACCCACGCCGGCATCCACATGGCTGCGTTTATTCTGACGGTGATTGCACTGAAGACGGTCTTCGATTCGCACAACTTGGCCAATCCGCCTATCCCAAATATGTACTCCCTGCACTCTTGGCTTGGTCTCTCCGCGGTGATCATCTTCTCGTTGCAGTATGTGGCCGGGTTTGTGGCCTTCTTGGCGCCTGGTCTGCGGGAGAACTACAGGGTCGCCATGATGCCGCTGCACATTTACTTCGGTTTATTTGGCTTTGTTCTGGCCATTGCAAGTGCCGTAATGGGGCTCACCGAGAAGGCTATCTTCGCCCTGTAAGTCTAGATGTGCTTTAGGTAGATCCTTTTTCTAATTCATAATTATTTCCTTAGGCAAAATCCTGCGTATTCCACCCTGCCGCCGGCTGGTGTCCTGGCCAACGTGATTGGAGTGCTGTACGTGGTCTTTGGGGCCCTGGTTGTCTACCTAGCCACTGAGCCCTCCTACAAGCGAAAGCCCATTCCAGAGGATACGGCCCTGCTAAACTCCAGTTCTGTCAACGAATAAGGACTCTATCAATGCCCCAAACCAGCTGCAATGCTTACTTAAGCTCAACACTGTGCACAAAACCAAACGAAACCGAAACCTGATCACACGGATGGTGCTTTGTTGATGATGGAGATGCGTGTATTATCTGTAGCAAGTACATAACTTAACGACTATGTATAATTCGGAATTATTCACATACGTATACTTGGATCACAAGTCGTGCAAAGATTTCAGCGAGTGCTCAAATCGTAACGTATTTAACCTCATAATGAACATTTGCTTTGAACTGTACGAATACATCTATCTTTGTGTGTTATATATGCTTAAATAAATATATATTAATACATGTCCCCGGTGAGGAGGATGCCTCCCTTTTCTCGTTCCCGTTTTGGATCCTCCAGCTCGTCCTCCTCATCGCCCATCTCCGTCTCATCTTCCTCACCCTCGTGCTCCTCTTCAGCCTCTTCGGAGGCAGAAGACTTATTGCCGAAGTAGCTCGGGTCGAATTCCATTGGAGTATCGTCGATTATCATGCTCGTGCTTACATAGCTCATGCTGACTTGGTCGTGATCGTGGAAAGTCAGGTTTTGATCCAGAACCACCAGATATGTAGGCACCTTGCCTACCCCCTTTACCTCCGTGTGAGCCCGGTAATTGCAGCGGATGTTGTATTGTCGCAGCACCCTGGCCGTGTTCCGGGTTACTTGGATGTTGTCCATCAGACCAGTGGAGCTCATTCTAGAAGCCATATTGACGGTATGTCCCCAAATATCATAGTGGGGCTTTGAGAGTCCCACAACGCCGGCCATCACCGGTCCATGCGAGATGCCTTAAAAATATTGGATAAGTTGGGAATAGGAGTATACACCAGGTTGATTCCCACCGATTTTGAGACTGCCCGTCAAAAAGCTATCATACTCAGAAAACGCGTAGTTGTATCGCAAATCATGCATGATGCGGAGTAAATCCAAAGCGAATTCGGTCATCACCAAGACGGGGGCATCTTGCACTTGGGCGACCGACATGCTCAATGTATCGCTCATTTCATCGTCCTCGGTACTGCCAAAGTGGACAGTAAGTACTTAAGTAAAAAGAACAAATTAAAGCGTTTAAAACTAAATACATAGGAAACTAAAACATAATAATAACCGCTAGATCTGCGCCTCATCTCCGAATCCGCATCGGCAGTCTGGACTGGAATGTTGATCGAGAAGTCGGTGTAGTGATCAGCTTCGAGGCCACAGGCCGCCATGTAGGTCCATCCCATTACTTTGATTTTCTCAATTTTATTCTTTGATTGATAGGTGACCAGGAGATCGTCAAAGCAACAGATTATCTCGTGTAGAATCCGCAGACCTGCTGTAGCCGCATTGAAGTTCTCGATAGAGGCGAACATCACGGCCACTTTGGAGAAGTTCTCGTAGTAGAGCTGATCGTTGGGTCGCCTTACCTTGTACACCTCCGCCACGTGCGTAGGCAGCATGTTGGCCATAATGATCTTAATGGAGCGCAACTTTTCATCAGTCTGTTGATGAGTGTCCTCGTAGCGGATGCGCATGCTGAATACAATCTGTTTTTAAGAATTGCAATAGATATCAGCTTACTCACAAGAAGGAAACCTTCTTAAGATAGTTAAGGTGACGTTCCCGCAACAACAGAATCAGGAAGAAAGCAATCAGGTACCAGGTATGAGCATAGTCCGCCTTAAGTCCTAGATCCGTGGTCTCTGACCGCTCGAAGGCGAATCCGTAATAGAAGTGGATGGTTCCCAAGTGGAGGCCAACGATCAGAAGGCCCACGATCACCTTGATCATAAGCGGACACCCCAAAATGACAAACAATAGACTGAGCACAATAATCACACAGTAGGTGACCGTCTGAGGAAGCCAGAAGTATTAGAGTGTATAAACTTTGGGATCTTAAATATATCTTACCCAGGGAGCAAAGCAATTTGCATATGACTTTTCGTTATGCAGATGGGCATCAATAATCTCAAGCTCTAGCTTAGCTACATCACAAGTGAACTACAATGTCCATACAATATATATTTAGAAATTAATTCTTAAGAAAATACGCACCACTGGCAAAGAGGCCATAATGTAGAGCAGGAGAAGTATCACAACGGTCAGTGGAACCCTTACAAAAAGCGAGTTCTCGATGAGTTCCGAGCTCCTTAGAAGCCAGCGACTCAGGAAGAAAGAGGGCTGCGACACGGGCGTGATTTGTCTACACTGCAAGCGAAGCTTCTTGTATCCGCCAAGAAAACTCAGAATCATCAGAAAGATAAGTATTCCAAGCAAGGTGAGGAAGTCAGAGTATTCGACTCTATGGGTCAAAAGGAAAATACTTTGGAATTGGCTTTTCGTTATATAAAGACTCACTTCTGGATCCAACTAATGCATAATATCGCCAATCCGGCACAGAACACAATAAACAAGGTGTACTTCATCATCAGATCCGGTAGATTATGAAAGGCCCACTCCATCTTCCAGCTGCGGAATACGCCCGGGATGCTGTGAATCTGGGAGTTGAACAGGTAGTCCTCGCTGAAGGTTTTTTTCTTGACCGATATGTTCCGCTTGCACACCAAGAAACTCTGTCCCACCGCCATGTGCTCCACCTCCTTTATCATTTCGCGCTGCGCCTTAATCTGAATCTCCTCAAAGTATCCCCCGTAGCTCAGGCGATATGAACCCATTGAGGCAACGCTGTTGTCGTTGTCTAGCTCCCCGGGCTCCACGTAATCAGGAAGTCGGCTGCTGACCAGGTAGGTACGTATACCCGCTTGCAACAGAATCGGATCATTTTTAGCCGCTTCCGTACCTTCGGCGTACACATAATGTTCGTCCAGCATGTTTAGAGTTCTCTGGGAAACGTGCACCATACCTTCAGCACCGGATGACTCTAGCCGATTGGTGATGTCCACGTCCTTCGACCAGATATCAAACTGCCACTTTGAGTGGCCAATGATGCCAGCAAATACCTCGCCCGAGTGCACCCCGATCCGCAGGTTGATGGCCAGTTTCCGCCGATTTCTTATGTCCTGCGTAATATGAATCATCTCCAGCGCCTGGTCCACGCAGCAGGAGGCGTGGGCGGGGAAATAGTTAGGAATGCCAGCCACACAGTTATACGCATCGCCCAAGAACTTGATTCGCATCGCCCGGTTGCGATTGGCAGCCAGGTCAAAACTCACAAACAATTCGTGCAAAATCTCCACAAGTTGCGGCGCATCTAGGGTGGTGGTCAGATGCGTGTAGTTGACCATGTCAGCCACCAAAATGGAAACTTCTGGATATGGTTCTAAGAACAATTTTCTTTAAAAGAGAAATACATTTTATTAATTATCATTTATTAATGAACTAACTATACTTTAAATCACACATACGCACCGTGCACTGGATCTAAAAGGGGAATAATTTTTATCCTGATCCTCGATGCGGCTGCAGATTTCCTCCTGCAATGTGCGAACCATTCTGCGTGGTAGGATTGACTCCAACAGGGCATTCTCCTTTTTCATAACGATCTGGCGTTATAGAATCTTTAAGGCTGTTATAGAGTATATATCAGGTATATATCTTACCTGATAGACAATGCTTTGGTATATCAATTGGTAGCGACTCAGTATTGAGCGTCGAATCCAATAATCTCGAGTTATACAGAAGTATGAAAAAATCAGATTGAGGGTGAAGAGGTATATGATATATGAAGCGAGGAGGTCGGGCGATATTTGATCATTAAGATACTGCACATAAAAAACGAAGAAGATGTAAAGTGCCGAAACGGCAAATCCCAGGATATGTACTGAGCGGCCTTTGTAGAATGTGATTGGTAGAATCATGTAGACACAGACTAGTATTAGGTGATCATAGCAGGGCACTACCGGAGAGGCTGCTCCATGTTGGATGGCCCCCAGGAGGTCGGAAGACATGTCTGCGGAAAAGAGGAACTTTATATTACCAGGAGCTTGTATGTCGTAATAACCCAACCCATGAGAGCTAAAAAGAATGCCATCAACCATGAGACGATCACATTCAAGGTAAAACTAGCATCATCCTGCATGCTAAGCATCATAATAAATGGAGTGAATAGCATAATCGCAAAGTAAGGAAGCAATGAGACTAGTACAACATCCTAAAGGAAAGGTGGCCTTAAGTTATTAAGGAGAGTTAAATATGTCTGTAAACCAACCCTGACTAGGCACACCAAGAGTATAATATGAAGTATAATAAGGAATTCAACGTTCCAAATAATTCGGGCCACATTTGTTACCATCGCCAGCTTCCGAAGACGAGAACAGGCTATCTCCAGGTGAAGTTTATGACACTTTTCCTGCACTTGGAAAAATGTAGGTAGGATATCGAAACCGTACAGCAGGTACAAGTAGTTTACCCTTAAATGTCGCCATTCCAAACCCTTAATGTTGCTCAGCGAGCGGTAGGCTACCACGTCTTCTTGGTAATACGGGGAATCCATTTAGAAGCTATTCTAGGTTAAAGGTGTCGCAAATATAAATTTTTTTCAACTATTTTAACTTATATTCTGACTTATAAAGCACAGAATTACACGGCGATTACACTTCCTAGGGGTGAATGGTTACTATTGTGGTGTTGCTGGAACTGTAGATTCTGGTCCAGGGCTATCAGATAGGTCGGCATCTCGCCCACACCCTTCACGAACGTTTTTCCGCAGTAGTTGCTGCGGATGTTAAAGTCTCTCACTGGCTAGCAGTCTCGCCGATCCGGCGATCTGTCTTCCCGTGTTGTACATTAATATTATAAACATATGGATATAATTGTAAATAATTGTATATAGTCCAGGCCCATATCCCATATGTCCACCCCATCCTCTAAACGCCCGGTTATGTTCAAATGGTCCTGAACGATTCCGGCGATAATAATAAAATTTCATTTAAGCAAAAAAAGAATGCGGGTCTAAGAGCTTATACTAATTGTAGCACACTTATGGGCACAGAGGAGCTAATTGCGTGTAAAACTGTTGCATACTTCAAGTGGCAACATAAATTTAGAATTACATTTTCAAAAATTTATTTAAATTCAAATCGAACTACAAAATGCGAATACGTGGATATCTTAATCCTATGGTATTTATATACACAGGTGCCTTAGTTCTAATCTCTGGTAAATTCAGCTAGTCTTCTTTGGTTTCCGCGGGTGGGCGATGCGGCAGGAACTGGTATTCGCTGTCGGTGCCAATGATGTAGGTGGGTATGTTGCCACGCCCCTTGACGAAGGTCATCCCCCGGTAGTTACACTGGATGTTGAATTCGCGTAGCTTTAGGGCCGTGTTCTCGGTGACCTGGATCTGCCCTGGCACTCCGGTGGAGTCCATGCGCGATGCCATGTTGACGGGATTGCCCCAGATGTCATAGTGGGGCTTCGAGATGCCCACCACTCCGGCCATGGCCCTGCCATGCGAAATTCCTATCCTTAACATACCGTAATCGGTGCTGCCCTCGTACTCCGTTTGCATGTTCTCCGTATTAAAACGACGCATGGTCCGCATGAGGTCCAGGGCGAATTCTGCCATCACCCGCACCACCTCGTTGCTGCTGTCGACGTTTTGGTAGGTGCTGATCCGTGGTGGACTGGTGATCACATTTCCCTCGTACTGACCCCGCTCCAAGTCGAGATCCAGGGCTATGTTGCTGCCGTTACCGTACGGCACCCGTTGCACTCCGTCTGTATTGGAGGTGCGGGCTCCGTCGTAGCGACTCCTACGTCCGTTTGGCATCAAAGACACGTTGCGAAATTTCATTTGGGGTGCATTCACCTGCTCGGATCGAGAAACGTCCAGTCCGCAGGCCGCCATGTACGTCCAGTTGGCGACCTTGATCTTCTCCACGCGCAAGCTCTGCGAGTACTTGTTCAGCTGAAGAAAGGAAATATAATTTATTAGTTTAAGTTTCAAAAATTCTTTAATAAACTGAATAGATATTCCGGTTTCCCTTCGATTGAAAAGAAGTTTACTTCGAAAGACTGTAGATAAAATGTGACTATTATCTAATTCAACTCACAGTTTGGATATAACGCACTTCTAGTACGATTTGATAAGATTGCAATACCAACTTACGAAGTTACTAAATTTAGGCATTCAATTTCTGTTGGGGATCCACCGGGAGTGGTATCAGACTACTCACCACATCGTCAAAGTCACAGATAATCTCGTTCAGCACCCGCAAACCGATCTTGTCAGTGTCGAAGTTTTTGATCGAGGCAAACATTACGGCCACATTGTCGTACTCCTCGTAGTAGAGCTCATTCTGCAGTTGGTTGGACAGATAAAAGTCGGCTGAATGGGTTAATTAAAAGGATTAGTATTAGTTACCACTTAACAAAAGAGAAAACCTACCAACATGAGTGGGCAAAATATTGGTAAGAAGGACTTTGATGGTGTCGTTGGTAATCAGTGCATCCTCCTGCTTTTTAAGAAGCTGCCGTTTCCAGCTGTTAAATCATTCATATTAAAGTAGCTGCTCTCATAAACTATAGATTTGCTGTAATTACTTGTAATCCACTTTGGCAATGAACTCCGTTTGGCGCTCCATCAGGTGGAAAATGCCAAATGTGATGATCATCAGCAGGATGTGCGAGTACTTGGCATTGAAGTTAACATTGGTCGAGGGGCTGTTGGCATAGATGTAGTTGAATTCGAAGACCACCAGGACCGAATAGCCAATCACTATCAACGTAGTGAAACAGGACTTGATGATAAAGGGTATTCGCGTGAAGAGAAACGACATGCCTATGACTAGGGTCATGCAGTTAGTGAGTATCTGCAGATAAATTAAATAATGTAATGAAAGTGTTAATAGTGGATTTCCGGAGCTCCCCACCCAAGGATGAAAGCACTGCACTCGCTCGTCGTAACTCGGTTCCAAGTCCGGGTAATCCTCGTCGCTACTGCATCCTATCACTTGCATTATGGCCACTGCACAGTACGAGAAAATGATGAGGAAGTACATCACTATCCGGATGACCACGTTGCGCTGCATCTCATCCGACATGCGGAAAAGGAACCCACTGAGCTTGCCGTTTGGAGATGACACATCCGCATCAGACATGTACATGATCCAGAGTTTTTTGTACCAGGACACGACTAGCAGCATGGTGAGCAGGATTATCGTGGTGCCATCTATATACCAGTAGTGATAGCGGGCACTAAAAGTGAAATGCAAAGGTTATTTGTTGTATTATTTAAGTTGGCATTCACTTACTCCTTGCTCAACAGCTGGATGGTCAGCAGACCCATGTAGATAGCCCAGGACAGAGCAATGCTGTACTTGAGCATCACATCTGGCTCCTGCATGTACTGAAACTCCCAATTTCGGATACGGAAGAACAGGCAGCAGGAGCTAATGTTACGGCGGAAAGTCTCCTCTTCGATTTCATCCTGGGTGAGGCGAGTGCTTCGTCGGAATACCTTGGTGAGTCTGGAATATGGATACGTTACAGTATCAAGATATAGGTGTTACAATAGACTGCTTACTGTATCCTCCCGATGGGCATCTTGTCCAGTTCGCGACACATCTCCAGCTTAGCCTGGTTGCGCACCTGGTTGTACTGGTGGAGCGTGGAGTTGTGCATGAAGTTGGCCTTACTGGCCTCGCTTAGCTTCTTGGCCTGCCGTTCCCTCATCCTGCGACGCGGGTCGTGCATTGGGGCCTACAACTTTCGGTTCAATGTAAAGGTGCTGGCGAAGATCGCAGAATCTTTTCGGGGAATACTCACGCGCAGCGACTTGATCAGGAAGGTGCGAATACCATGCTTCTGCAACACTGGATCCTCTCGAGCCTTTTCGGTGCCGTCTTCATAGAAATACTCACCATCCAGCAGGGAGAGCGTCTTTTGGCTTACATGCACTCGTCCTGTGGCTCCTGTGGCCTCCAGTCTATTAGCAATGTCCACGTCCTTAGACCAGATGTCGAACTGCCACTTGGCTGCTCCAATTACACCGGACAAGACATCTCCGGAATGGACCCCGATTCGCATGTCGATATTCAGATGTCGCTTCTCCCTGGAGGATTAAGAAAAATGAAGAATAATGGTTAGTTCTTATAGTTTCTTAAGTGCTAGTCTTCCTGAATCATGAAATCGTATTTTATTGGCATTTGGAAAAATCTTAAATACGGTCAGTTATAGCAGAGCCATAAATTATTAATTTAAATTTGTATGCCTTATCAAAATTGCTTAAGTACGTAGATTAATTATACGCGATTTTTATAAGAACGACTAAATTTAGAATTGAGAAAATAAAATACCTCTATGTCAGTTTTAAATGCAACCATTATTTCTCTGATAAACATAGATTAAATTTCTTTGATTCTATTATGCTTGATTCGATTAGAAAATTCTCTAATCGTTATCAATAATCACAGCGTCCATCCGGCCAAATAAAAAACCATTTATCAGTAGTGACTAATCACAACATGGCTAATGACTTTTATTACTGCTTGGAAGAGTGGCTATACTCACCGGACATCTCGTATGTCCTTGATCATCCGCAGTCCCAGATCCACGCAGCACTTAGCGTGGTCAACATTGGGATTGGCCAGTCCAGCCACACAGTAGTAGCAGTCCCCCAGGAACTTGATTCTCAGCACATTGTACTCCTCGCTGGCGATGTCGAATCGCACGAAGAGATCGTGTAGAGCCTCTACTAGTTTCTTGACATCCAAAGTTGTGGTCAAGTGGGTGTAGTTGACCACATCTGCGTAGAGAACAGTGACGTCATCATGAGGCTCAATGAATAGGGTGCTGCAAGGATACAGGATTGGTGTGATTCAAGTAGAAATAAGTTAAAGATCCCCACTTACCCATGATCCGGTTGTCGCCACCGCTTGAGTGTCTGGCTATCCGCACTCCTACGCAGATCGACCTGCGATTGCTGCTGATGCTGCTGCTTAGATCTCTCAATGCGGTTCTTCACATCCTCCTGCAATCGATCTGCAATCTGGGCAGGCAATATGCTTAGTAAAAGGCTTCGCTCCTGATCTCTGGCATAACGCAAAAGGAGATTCTCCTCCACATATTGCCGTCGGTCCAGGAAAGTTGTGCGTAGCGCTATATCCCGCATCAGGCGAAAGAAAATTCCCAAGAGGTTGACACAACTCAGATAGATAGCCTCATTCAGGATGCTGTGCATTTGGTTGTCGTCCTTGGCGGTGATCACAAAGCTGTAGTTTATTATATAGCAAAAGGTGACTGCCGATCCCAGGACAAACGGTTGCAGCAGATACGGCACTGGCATGAACATGTATATGGCGTACAGGGTATAGGCATCGTAGATCGGATTTAGAATGTCATTGTGACTGGTGGCATGGTAGACATTAAGCCCTATGTCCATCAGGACCATCACGCAGACCGCTAGCCAAGATGTGGCATACACAACCCAGCCATGCTTGCTTACCAGCTCGCTCCGGAAGTTCACGGAGAGGACTATCCAAATAACCAAACCCGAGCACATGTAGGCCACCATGTCCACGTACACGTACTTGATCTCCGGCGTAGTCAGTAGGAGGAGAGTATGGATTACCGTCACTGCCACATGGATAAAGATGAATAGTGACAGGTAACCGACGCGCAGGCGACGCATATACAGGTCGTATGACTCCTCCAGTTCCAGGTTGCGACATTTTCTCTATGGGATTAAGACAAATTTTAGATTAAATTAACTATTAATAGTTTAAGATTTGTTAAAACGTTTATTTATTTATATTTACAGCCCTTCCCTCGTACTTCGATTAACGCCGCACTTACGAGTGCCTTGGTACTTTACTGGAATAGTATAGTTGTCATCATTAACCTTAATAGGAACCCGAGCAAATGGGCATTTGAGATTTTCTTATCGACTGGTCGCTCGAACAATTTCATAATATTTTTTAAGGTGTAATTTCAAGAGGGAAATCTAGTTTGAATTTCACTGAATATTCATAGATAAGGAATATGATTCCTTATTACACGATTATATAGCCTGTAATGTCAGGATCTTTGCATTCGGTTGCAATTTCGTTAATTGTGATTTTAGTGTTGGCTTATAAAGATTGGCGCAGTGTATAAAGATAAAGGGTTGACCGAATAAAACTTTCCGCCCCAGATTGTTCACTGGAATTCGATTGCCTCGCAAGGATGATTCACTTACCACGAGGTAGGACCATTCCCAGTTCTTCTCGTTCTGCACGGTTTGGGCCTGCTCGCTGGTCCTGGCCAAACTGATGGGATTTGTGCGGTTGTACTCTATGGCCGAGTCGAAATAAGAGTCCATGATGGCGCCGGATCGGATCGGATTGGATTAAATCAGAGTAACTGCAGCCGGACCATTTTCGGTGGCAACTGTCCACAATCAGAGGCTGCTAAAAATCGCTTCGTATCACCTATTATCGGATCAAACAATTAGCCACAAAGCTATCAGGCAGAGTTCCAACAACAAAATCCCAATGAGCGTTGAATCAGTCAATTGACGGGTTTCGCTTATCAGTGCCACAAAAAGTAAAGACGAGAGGGAGGAGTGTGGAGTAGGGAGAACCTTACTGGATTTCGGATTTCTGGCTTCGAGCTGTGCCGCGCTGTGCTGTATGGCAGCGAGAACAGCAGCTAATTTAGCAATTTGTCTAATGTGCTGTTGATAGTGGTAATAGCTAATGGTCTGTAAATCACACTCACCCGCACTCGCACTCACATTCGCACTCCAAAACGAAATCGATCAGGCGGACTCCGTTTGCATTATCAGCTGCGGCGGTGGGTAAGGGTAAAGGGAAGGATCACGGCTATATGGCTGTGTAATTTATTTACGGGCTTTGCACGTATGGCCCGGCACTTGAGGCGACCGATTTCGCACTTCACTTTCGTTGAGTAATAAATACGATAATAATTAATAAAAAATTAACACCACTTAAGCGCGTAGCGCTCCAACAAGCCAATACACGGCTGACAGGTATCACAAATTACTCTTTTGCCGCGATAAGCGCTCGCCCCGATTCCGATTTCGTTTCGTCCGACTTAACTGCCTGCGGGAGCTGGTATCTATATAGACGACCGATGCCAACCAACTACTGCGACCAACTGAGGGCCCACACCTGTCGACGAACCGCTCGCTGTTGAAAGTTGAGTGCGGAGTCGAGCGTTTGCGGCTTATCAGTGTGAAAAGTGTTTGGCGGCGCTGGCGCTTGATTGATGACCCAGCTGAAGAGTTGTTATTTATTTCTAATAATATCTTAAAACTTTAAAGCTAATGCATTTTTATATAAAATTAGTTTTATAGCTTGTTATACGTCTTTTTCTTAACAATTTACAATTTCAAATTTGAATTATGGGCGCCCATAAGGTGGCTCCATCTTGCGGTTTTAATTAGAAGCTGTACTATGCGTCCCTGGTTTAAGCGGTCACTCTAATTGGTGTGCAGCATTTATATAGATACCCTTAACAAAAATCGATATACACGTGCTTCTCAAAAAGCAATCGAGATATTGATAAGTTTATAATTCCCATCTCTAGGTCAAGCTGTTTATTTTCTGAGTTGAAAATTCTTGCAATTATTCGAATTGTTTGAAAAAAGGCCGAAACAAAGGTGCAAAACTAGCAATCATGTCGGCCTTCACGGAGTCGGCTCTCCTGAAAAAACTGGCTGAGTTGAACAGCAGCCAGCAGAGCATCCAAACATTATCTTTATGGCTGATTCACCATCGCAAGCACAGTGCGTCGATTGTAAAGACCTGGCAGCGGGAATTGGAGAACGGTGAGTATTTCTAGTTGTTTTTGTAACTCGAATCATTACGTATAACCTCATCCCACAGTGCCGGAACCCAAAAAGCTGACCTTCATGTACCTCGCCAACGATGTGATTCAGAACAGCAAGAAGAAGGGTCCGGAGTACGGCAGGGATTTCAACCATGTGCTGGGCAAGGTGTTCGCTCACATTGGCGAGAAGTGCGGCTCGGACAAGTTGCTGGGGAGCCTAGGCCGGATTCTGAACATTTGGCTGGAGCGAGGCGTCTATGATCCTAAGGCTATTGCAGACTGGCGGTCTAGATTGCACCGGGAATCCGCTGGAAGCAGCAATGGGAAGTCTAACGGAAACAGCGAGAAACCCGAGAAGGAGCGGGAAAAGCCGGAAAAGTCTGAGAAATCCGAGCGCCGGGAGAAACGCAAGCACGAGGATCGTCACTCCAAGTCCAAGCGGTCAAGGCATCATGCCCAAAGTAGCAGCACTAGTATGCCTCCTCCATCTGAGGAAGTAGTAGTTGTTGAGCCGGAGAACGGCCACACACCACCATACTTGCCTTTGGGGGAACCCCCAGAGCCCGAGGAGCTCATCAAGGCTCTCACCAGTATCGAGAACTCCGCCTCCAGCGATGCTGTGGTGCGCGAGCGGATCGCCAAGTTGCCCCAGGAAATATCAGAGATTAGCTGCATCAGCAAGCTGGAGGATAAGGACAAGGCCAAGGCCCTGGCCGTGCAGGTGGGGACCAAGCTTTTTGCTCCTGTTATGACTACTTCTTTTTTTCTTGTATTTTCTTAATTAAGAATGCTAGTAATAATATTCTTATTTTTAGGTCAACGAAGCTGTGGACCTACTGAATGATTATAACGCTCGATTGGCGGCGGAAATGGAAGAGCGCACCAAGCTAGCCACAATGCTGCGGGACTTCCAAGCGGAACAGAAGGAACTTCTATCGCAGGCAGAACAGCGTCTCGATGTACGTTCTCCATCATGTATTAAGCACTGCATGCTATTTGGGGTTGTTAGATAAAGTTCCGCATTAAAAATGTGGGTGGTTGTCCATTTAAACTATTGTTTGTAATTGTTGCCCAAGATCTCCTTACTTCCTAGTCAACAAAGTCAATCATTGGCTTTCCAAATTGTATATTCATATTTTAGTAACATTAAAAGATCCAAATCCAATTCAATGTAGTCCCCCTTTTATTACCCGTGTTTAAACATCATCGCCTAATTCTCTGTGTCTTTGCAGGAACACAAGAAGAAGCTGGCCAAGATGTTGGGCCTACAGAAGGAGATTCACGACCACCTCTCCAACCTGCCCGACCTGACCCAATTGCCGGATGTGACCGGTGGACTGGCGCCCCTGCCTTCCGCTGGCGATCTCTTCAACGCATTGCATTGAACCAGATCCGGACATTGACCCGTACGGAGCCACATTAAGTCAAGCCTAGAGTTTATGCATATATTTTGCTCCCCCTATAAGTACCCTCACCCACAACCATTGATTGTAATCCAAAAACACCCCTTATGACGTTTTAAATTTAGCATCTATTTGCAAGCATTTATTATAATCGTTTATTATTAAGGGGAGTTAGTGCATCACGTAGTTAGCTGCTCCTTGCCATTTTTCAGTAAAAGAAATTATATCGGCAATACCACTGCCCGGAGACATCTTCAGGGCCACCGAGAACTTGCTCCAGACATCCCGATTGACTTGGTTACTCGATCCCTGAAAGGTGACAGGCTGACGACCCCTCACAGGAAACCCACTAAGCATGCAGGGCAGATCATTGGCACCCAAGCTGGATTCGTAAAGGCCGCGATCATCGGTGGGCAGCTGCTGATCCACCTGTTGATCCATGCTAACAGCGAGAACCCATTCGCGAACCTCCTCGTGTAGATTGGGATCATTCTTAAGGTGAATATCCTCTGGCAAAGGCACAGAGCTGGGAAAATCCGTTCTAGTCAGATCGGAATGGTCTACCAACTGGCCAGAACCCTCTTCAATAGCCTCACACACATCGAGATAGTGATTGAGCATAACGAAGGCCTCGGATTCGCGACCTGCCTGGCGTAGATCCATCCCAGCTTCGTAGAAACCTTTATCCACCGGCAGGAGGTCGGTATGACGAAGTAATGCCAAGGATAAACGCAGAGCCACCGGTTGGAGTGCCTGCACCTCCTTACAAGCGGCTCTGGTGGCATAATAGTGGGCTATCAACAGGAACTGCTCCATGCTGACTGTAAACTGGGATTGGGCCTGCTCCGGCGTCGCCTTAAGAGATTGTAGTAAGCGGGAAAGGAAATCCCTCAACTGCCTCCAAATGGAACCGCCCTCAGTTTGCTCCTCCCTCAAGGCCAAGCAATCCAATGCGATCCTGGTGTAGATATTAAAATGAGCTTCGATGGGAGGAGCTCCGTAGCTCAAGTAGAGCCCCAGTGCAGTGGTGCAATTTCCCTCCCGAATGAGCTGGGCGGCATAAACGGCCACGTACTTTTGTAGCAGGGCGGGATTCAGCTGCTTGGCCTTCTCCAAGCAACGCTGCCATTGACCCTGTTCCGCCAGGAGATCCAGAGCAGAGACGACGTCTATATCGGCCAGTTGCTCGATGTTCCCCTCGTGCTTCAGGCTGGCCTTCTGTTGCTGTTCCACGTATGCAAGGAGTTGCAAATCCGCGTCGATCTCCTTGGCTAGACGACGAGCCTTGCTCCACTGCTCCGTTTTGATGAACACATCTACAGCCTGCTTGGGCATATCAGCAGCCAAGTACAGCTGGGCTGCCGGTCCTATTTGCTTGATGGCTAGTAATCGTGGTCCTAGAGATTGGGCCAACTCCTGGGCATCCTGACCCTCTAAAAACTGATTGCAGATCTCAGCAGCTCTCATTAAAGCTCTTTCCAAGGTGGCTGCATCCTCAGCATTGGTGGAATCTATCTGCATGAGGCACTCGGCTGCCTTTCGGAACTGCTCTTTCTTGGCAAACTCTGCAGCTCTATGCAAGTAGGCACGAGAAATGGAGGCGGCATCTTCGCTGGCTTGAGCTTGAGCCTGACCACGTTGAAGTTGAGTCTGGAGGCGCCTCAGATCGTTTAAAGCTGCTGGATAATGCTCCTCGGCGATGCGCAGGGCATCTTCATAAAGGGATTCCTGTTTGTAGTGCTCCACAATCAAGTCCGGTCGATGCGCTCTTAGAAGAAGAGCTTCATAATCCTTGTAATTACGGGTTTCCAAGGCAGCTGAAGCTTGTCCTATTAGAACTTCTCCCACGGCATCGGGTAGGTGATTTTCGGCCACATTTAAGGCAGCCTGCCAATCTCCTGCATGTTGGTACATCAATATGGCCTCTTTGGGTTTGTTGGCCTTAAGGAATTCCGCCTCCGCCGCCTCAAACTTTCCTTCATCTTCTAGCGACATTGCGATCTTCAGGTGCACCTCATCTGTTGGCTTTCCAGCAAATTTGCATAGTTCCATAGCAAACTCGAATTGACCAGAGTCACAGGCAAATCCCACTGCAGTATCCAGAAGACCTAGTTTGCTCAGTAGTCTTACTGCACTCTCTGTGGGCATGGACTTGGCCCACATGTAGGCCACCTGCTGGCTTGCTCCATCAGTTCCCTTCTGTTTGGCCACCCTGTAGCCATCCTCCCAGCGACCCGACGAGCAGTACATGTGCACGGCGGATTTCCAATCGCCGGAGGCAACGAAATGCATCTCAGCATTCTTGAGTTTTCCGCGGGATTCCAGTTGGCGAGCCAAATGTAAGTGGGTGCTATCCAGCAGATCCTTGTGATACCGCTCCACTAAACGGATCATTGAGTCGTACAGTTCCCGCCGCTTATACATGGCTATAGCCAGATCGGGCTCATTGACTGCTATAAGAACCTTTTCCGCATCTCTGTATTTCCCCTGCTCCTCCAGAGTTCCTGCGAGTTGGACAAAAAGCTCTCGGAGTTGATCTGCCTTCAGATACTTTTCACCAATCACGTAGGCTCGCTCCCATTTGCCATGCTTGTTTAGCAGTTCAATAGCATCCTTGTGCAGATTGGCTCTCACCAACATATCTTCCGCTCCATCAAGGTCTCCTGCAAAGGCCAAATGCTTGGCTAGATCCACGGCATATCGCTGTATTAGTTCCGGTTCGTCCAGGACTTTTGCTATTTGAACTGCCTTTCGCCATTGCTTGGCACCCACTGCAGCTTCCAAAGCTTTTTGCGTCGCTCCCGCTTCTATGTAGTGGTTAATAGAGGCATCTAGCTGTTTTCGGCTTACCAACCAGTCTCCCCACTCCTCCTCCAAAGCAGTGACCTCCTGTGGAGCCACGACACGTCCCAGTTCTAAAGCTCTGGCATATGCTCCTCCTTTTCTGTAGAGAGCTAAAGCTGCTTCTGGGCGAGACAGCCGATGTGCTATATCTCCAGCCAGCTCGTAGAGCTCAGAACGGACCAGTCCTTCTGTAACCTGCAGCATCACCTGCTCATCCTGCAGGATGTGTGGTGTCTTTAAGGCTAAACGAGCTGCCCTCGCCGGTTTATTGGCCTTTAGGAACAAGGACATAGCCTGCTGTAGATCGCCCTGCTCCTCGAGCACCTGTCCAGCTTTTTCTTGCTGTTCGCTACTCAGTAAGTATTCCATGTGTTGTTGCTTCAACTCAGACACCCGGTTGTATCCACGTCGCTCTGCCAGAGCTACTGCTTCATCCCACATTCCAAGCTGTTGGTACATCTTCAAAGCCGCCTCGATGTCGCCCTGCTCCAGATAAATCCGCTCCGCAGTCCGCAAATCCGAACTTAGCAGAGCCATTTTAGCCCGAACCTCCGGGCAGAGCATGCCAGGAGAGCCGGAAGACTCCTCGAACTCATCTGCCTGCTGGATCATCTCAGCTAGATAATAAGCCTTGGATACATTACCTAGGGCAGCGTAACATCGCTGGGCTACTCGCAAATTTCCATCCTCTAGGGAGATCAAAGCCAGATTGTGCCACATAGCCTTGGCAGCGGGCTTGTCACCAAGAGATTCTAGAAAGTGAACGGCCCTTCCAAAGTCGCTGTCGTTAACAGCAGTGCCGAACTCCACAAGCCCTTCGTCCAACTGGTAGTTATGCTCACTTGGGCCATCCTGGGATCGAACCACTGTGCGTCCCTATGGGAATAACGTTGTTCTATATAAAATGAGCAGATTAGTGGGTAAAACTTACATTTTCGCGAAGCACCTCGACGGCATCTCCGCGAACACTCTGCATGGTGACGTGCTCCGGAAGATCGATGTTGTACCAGATGGCCAAGTTAGTGTTGCTCTGGGCTACCACCACATCGCTCTGGGGAACCCACTGGACAAAGGAAATGTTGCTGAGCAGGGTCTGCTTTTTGCCTGTATAATTATCCACTAAAACCAAACGGAGTTTTTTGTCTCGGAAGAGGAGCTTATGCGCAGTCTCGCTGAGCTCCAGCCAGTCGATCTTGGCCTCATGGTTGATCTGACCACTGGTCATTCTAGTGACAAGATCCACCACACATATAGTTTTAGCATCCAGCAGAAAAGCGAGCTTTTTATTTTCCTTTACGTTTCCTCGCTCATTTAGACGCACGGAGATCACATGGGGATTGACGAATTCCGTACGTACAGATCCCAGGATGGAGTTTTCACCGTACTCTACTAAGCTTAGTTCTCCCACATTGAAAACCAGGCAAACGGTGGGGTTCTCAAAGTAGAAACGCTCGTGGTGACCGGATGCCGTCCAGGGAACCTCGCTGCACAAATTTCTGGTCAAGTCACAAAGGATTAATGATTCCTCTGTGCGGGCCACTAGGTAATTATCCCTGCCCATAATCCTAACGTCATCGATCTCCAGACCCAGTTGTGATTCAATAGTGAGCTGTTGCGAGGGTTCCGTCAAGGATCTAACTAGAAGTTGACTGGGGGCCACGAAGATCAGCTCGAACTTGTCCTGCCACACAGTTCGTCGGAGTACGGACTCGAAGAGGAGAACTGCTCCACTCACAGATCCCAAGGCGAGTCGGGCTCCATCTCTCCGCCAGAGGAGGCTGCTCAAGGTATACAAGCAGGCTACCTCCTTGCTGGCACTTTCGCTCCACGCTCCTTGTCGAGGACTCCACGCGAAAATGCGTATCCTGTCAAAGCTACCAAAGGCCACAGCCTGTCCATTTGGACTACAGGCAGCCACTGTGAACTCCCGTTCACCTTCTGTCCTGGAATGGTCGAAGGTGCGGAGCTGACGACCCTAGTTAAGAAACCCTAAAGATTAGAAAGTATTTTCTTTAGCTAGGCTGAAACCTACCATGCTATCATAAAACACAATCCTCTGATCACAACCAGCGGCGCAAAAGCCTCCCTGAGGCCAGGCCAAGGCAAAAGGTGGAACCGAATGCTGCACCACTCTGCCCAGTGGTTCTGTTGCCTCATCCGTCATAAAGTACCTTATAATAGTGCCGTCATTGTGGCCACTCAGAAACCCTGTTCCCTTGGTATTGGCTGCCAGCGAAATGCAGATACTGTCACCGCCATAGAGACTTTGAGATTTATTACTCTTGCTGTGAAGGGCACGGACTTTGCCATCCTCAAGTCCTAATAGGAGTAAGGGTTTGAAAAAAAATCCTTTCATTAAGTTTAGCCAACTTTACCAGCTATAATAGATCCCGAAGTTAGCCAAATAAGAGCAGTCACAGCACTGGCTTGTGGAAACTTGTTACATATCACCTTCTTGTCGTTCCAGGACTCCCCCAGTTTGTATACATAAACGATGCTATCACTCTGGCCCACCGCCAGTTTGGTTGAGTCCGGGCTAAAGGCCAGTCCCCGAATGACATAGGAGTTCTTTCCATTTGAGGGATTCGCTGGCTTGGTGCTAAACTTATCCCGTCTTTCTCCTGCATCATCATATAGGAGAATATGACGGTCCGCGGTGGCTATAGCTAGTTTTTGCTGATTAGGAGACCAGGCTAATCCTGCTATTCTCTGGATTTGCTCCTGATGAAATAGGAATTATGAAAATGACAGCATTATTCAACCTTTTTAATTCTAGGAAATTGACCTATTAATGTCGCTTTGTTCATTATTAATTTAGTTACCTGACCCTCTAACAATGTTCGTAAATATTTCAACTGCATTATTTCAAGGGTTTTCTTTAGATTTATAGTAGTTTTATTAAATTAATTTTCCGATTAGAAATTTGTAAATTTTCTGACGCAGTTTGGCCGTTGTTGTGGTCTGTGTCAGTCGTTGTGGCAACCGTGAGCCCGGCAACCACCCCCTGCCAACCATTTCCACCACCTTGTGGCGAGGCTGTGTTGTTGTGTTGTCTATTTTCTTGGCGCTTCCGTTTTGCGCTGCCATTCTAAATAAATGGCCTTTGTTTTGAGATGCAGCAGGTGCCGGGCCTGCCACAGGATGGGCCAGGATGTGGAACTGCGCGTGGGTGTTGGGCAATAATAGGGGAGGGCGGGCGTCCCACCCACAGTCACAAAGCTGTTGCTTGTTCTGCAGACAGCGCTGCCCGCTGTGAGTTGTCCTAGTCCTTCTTACCAAAGAGAGGAGAGAGTACACACCACTGCGCATGGCCCGAGGAGAGAGTGAGAAACAGGTGAGAGGTCAATTCATACAGGTGTGCTGAGGCGCATGACCTTGGGGTGGGTTTGAGGCTGATTTTAGCAAATAGGTCTAAATCAGCCCTCTATCGGGTATTTACCAGCATCTGTTAAAGTTTCACATAACAAAAGTTTTATGGCAAAAGTATAACAGTATAAGATGTAAACTCACTCTAGTTTATAACACAAATTAACTTCATTTCAGATTCAAATACTTTAAGAACTATATTTCTTTTGTTAGAGAAAGGATACAAAACATAGTAAATAAACTTTAATCCATGTTAGGCATTATAAAAGTCAAATTGTTTTATGACAGAATTTTGCTTTTTATTTAATATAAATATTCATTAGTTCTGCCTATTCATACACTCAGTAAAATCAAACCAAACCGAAAAAATCTTTGAAGTCTACTGCTTGCCTGCTATTTTTTAATTACGACTTCAACTTCTTGCTTACACTGCTTTATTATCCGCCTGATTATTCTTTTAAAGTAAACTGCTTGTCTCCTTTGGCTGAACTGCTTTCATCCCCTTCTAAAGCAAGGATTTTCGGAGTGCCATAGAAACTTTCACCACCATTTCCCCGCTATGATGCTCAGCAAAGCTATTTCTCTCGTCTCTCTCTGATTTCAGAATGTCTCTCATCGGATTCTCTCGGTTTTCTTCCTTTCGGCAGCTCGTGAATCTCTCGTTTTTTGGCCAACATCGTTTGCCTTGGCCAAGTCAAAAGGACTTACAGCGGCAGCTGGATAAGGCGGCTGCTGATTATTTTATTCAATGGCGGAGGCCAAGTCAGCGCCAACGTGGCTAATGTATGGCCCAACGCATTGTGGCAGGTCAAAGCGGGCAATTCAGTCTGGTCCTGGTTCTGGTTGGTCCTTTCAGTCCTTTCTGGCCATGCCTTTGGCCTTTTTCCGAGCCGCTCAGCCTGAGCAACTGAGCCACTCTGCTTTGTGCCAGTGCCTGGTTGGCATCCCTTTAATGAGTTTCATTAATTAAAGCTACTTTGTTGGCACTGCTTGTTCTTTCCGCTCTGTGATCTATGTGGGGGAGTGGGGGTATATATGGGTATATAAATGTGTGTTTATGGGTGTGGGTGAGTGAGTGTGCATGAGTAAACATGCAACATGAATTTTGTCCTTGACTTTTAATGGGTTTATGACAAAAGCGCTGCCACCGCCCCTCACAAAGAACCCCCCTGGAAACGTTGCTAATGTGCAGGGCGTTCTCAGATGTGTTCCTATATAAGAATATATATACCAAATATATACACACGCGGTGAATGTGCGTGAGTGTGGGTAAAAGAGTTGTTAAAGCGGACGTCTGCCGGAAGCTCTTGTGGGTGCCATTTTGGTTCATGTTCCATGCGACGCACGCCATTTTTATCTCGCTTCCTTTTGCCCTGCCTTAAACCATTCGCCAGACTTTTGTCTCTAAAACTTGGCTGCTTCCTTTGGCTTCTCCCCTGGTCTGTCATTGTTTCCACGGCTATCCTTTTTCCCTTTGATATTGGTCTTGTGGCCAAGGCCGGTGGCGTTTTGGCTGGCGCTGCATTTTTAGCCGTTTTAGCCACATCCACATCCGTTTGACGGCGGCGTCTTTCGCTTCGGGCCCGGCTTAATTTGTCGACTTACAATTTTTATCTCCACGAGCAGGCGAAATGCGCTCAAGATGCTATCAATTAGGAGATGCCACTCGGGATGAAGCTCCTGGCTTTCCTTTAACCCATTTAAGAAATCTGTATCTCAAATTGAAAATGTTTTATCTTCTTTTCTTTGAACTTAAACAATTTTAAATTGGAAATTAATTACATTAAAAATGCAGTAGATTGAATTTAAGAAAAATAATAAATAATTCAGCTTTTGTAATGGATTTTTACTAAACAAATAATAAACTTGATAGAAAACATTCAAGGAAATCACTTTTTAAAATATATATTCCACAGCACTTTGTGTGCGAGTACATTTAAGCCCATATCTCGTACATTATTCATTCCACTTTTTCCCATTTTTCTGATTAAAATTGCATAAAGTTACCTTTAAAGAACCAGTCCAAAATCCGTTCCAATTTAATTTGCTTTTAAGCACTCCTGACCGAAATGGGTTAAACCAACTTTGCCAGCCGCAAGAGCTGCGCTAATTCAGCTTTAAGGCAACAATCTGGTTAAAACTCTCACAGCCGCAACTCAAATCTGGGCATTAGTGGCTCGCGTACTTTTTCGCAGCGCCAGGCGAAAGCGAAAACCGAAAGTTTTCCTTAACTTTGGGTCACACACACACACACACACATACAGAAGCAGTCTCCTGGGGATTTCCCAGACCGTGCGTAGAATGTGCAACTGCAACAAACTCGAGAAGTGCGGCAGGAAGTGCGCGAAATAACAGCAGAACAGCGTCAGCCGAGTGCAACTTCGAGTGGCGAAAGGGGCAAGTGCTATGCATAATGAATAACATTTTCAAATTAGTTTCCGGTCAGCGGAGATTTTTACGCAGTTTGTCAAGCGCATGAAAGAAAGTCCGCGGGGTGCTTTCACCGAAAACAAAAGAAAGCTACTATTAAAACCCCGAGTCACCGGCAAAAGTGCAATACGGTAGAGTATAATGAAGACTTTGTGCCACGAAATGCCACAAGTTATAAATTATTTCAAAGCATTTAAAATTAAATGGGTAACTTAAATGTGATTTATAAAATATATTCTTGGTAATGTCAGCCTTTAATAGGTTTCTCTACGGTAAAGAGCTTCCCATTTAATTCAAAATTCTAAAATATAATATCAAATTTATGACAAATGGCAACCATCAACGTATGGTTAGCATAGATAATAATCCTTCTGAATAATATTGAAACTCCAATCTATTTCCATCAAATGCCATTTAAACTACGGGACCCCTAGCTCTGTCTGAAATTATAGTCCCCCTGTCAGGATATAATTATATGCTGCTAACGTGCAATCAAAGCGATTGCCATAACAATAATAGCAGCGACAGGAGGAGGTAAATGAGGAGCCTAGGTCAATCATTTAACAAGCCCCCATGGAGCAGGAGCAGGAGCAGTGGCAGGAGAACGGAATGGAACGGAATGGTAGGTGGTTCGGTGTAAGCAAGCAGAACGTAAAAATACAAAAAGGAGAGGCATAATAATGTACATAAATGTCTACATCTGGCCATTATAATGGGGGATAGCAACGGGGCCCTGAACTGGAAACATTCTGCCGGCGTAATGAAATCAAAATATGCCTCCTGCCCACGAACCTCGTCCGCTTTCCTGGCCTTGGCAGTACAGAATGTACATACAGGATGTGTATGGCAACAATTTGCGTTAAAAATTGACACAACAATTGCAAAATAATCACCTTGGAGAGTTGGAGAATTGTGTGCCAGGGAGATGGACTCGACTAGTTTGCCTAGTTCCACGCCGCTGGCTCCCTTTCAGTTTTACTGCAAGTTGGATTCCCCACTGACCAGAGCAGCCAGTTAAAAGTATTAAAACTGGGGCCACGATGCAGCCAACCGACTGCATCCCCAACGCATCCATTCAATCGAAAAATAGAAGCAATCGCTGTGATAGCTCACGGGCATCATTTGCGAAGGCCACAAGCACTTTTAGCCAAATGAAATGTGGCACAATGAACTTTGCCGGCCAAGTCCTTTGGCCTTTTTGGCTCCCGGCTCAAGTCATAATTTTCCAGATGCGGAAGATAGATGGCTGGCCGAAAAGCAAAAGCGTCTGTACTCGTATTTTGCGTTATCTCGGGATGAGCTGAAAATTTTCACGAGTCCAAGTCCAAAGTTTTCCGGCAAAGGCAAAAGTTTTGCCAATTAGGTGATTAGGAATTGCCCTAAGGATATTTCGTAGTTGGCAATTAAAGCTGAAATTAAAACACTTGAAATCGTTTAGCCCACTGACATTGGCAGTCCATTGGATTGGGCCAATAACATTTCTCGATATTCATGACCGCATTGTGGTCTATTTCGTTGGACACAAACACGAGTCGAGCAATCGGCCCAGAAGAAACATAAAACCGAACCAATGCCCAATGTCTGGATACAATCGAAGTCCCTTTTAGATTGCCACTGCCAAACACACCCTTTTTTTAGAAGGGAGTGGGATGCACAGGGCGAAATGTTTGTATTTCATTTCTAGTCAAACCGACTTGAAACTTTGGGAATACTATTTCATAAATATTTAGAAAAAATACCGGTATTTGGTTGCGGACAGCTTTTTAGTTAGTTTTTTGCCTGTTGGAAATATTCATACAAGATAGTGTAAATACAGTTCTAAGGTTCTAAAAAAATTTGTCCTGTGCACATAGATGCCACGCATGACTAGTGTTTGTTCGCTTTATTGTCCAACTGGCATTTCTGCTCTGCTGCTTTTGGCCAAACAGTGGGCCAGTGTGAACGCTATTAGCCAAAAGGCCTGCCAAATAAAGGCGAAACATTTGTACCAACGCAAGTCCGCCTGTGTGTGTGTGTGTTGTGTGTTGTATGTAGTATGTTTTATGTCGCGATGTCAGCATGAACA